TTATATTCTCTCCCTTCCCTCGCTGACACTGTTTGACCCCTGCCGCTCGTGCCGTGTCCTCCAGCTAATAAGGTCGAGCGGCGATAGCAGCTCTAGCTAGTGTAGCGCCGTACTACACCACTCGCGAGATGGGTAGAAGAATGGAGGCCCCCTCCTCGCCCGCGTCCCTCGTCCTCGTCGTCGTCCTCCTCGCCTCGCTGCTCCTGCAGGCGCGCGCCGACGACCCCTACAGGTTCTACACCTGGAACGTCACCTTCGGCGACATCTACCCGCTCGGCGTCAAGCAGGAGGTACGCCCGCCCGCACGCACTGCCTCTGTTCTACCTTGGTTCGGCCCTGCATCCGCTAATGGCCGCGTGGATGGGATGTGACTGCGAATGCAGGGGATACTGATCAACGGCCAGTTCCCGGGGCCGCAGATCGACGCCGTCACCAACGACAACATCATCGTCAACGTCTTCAACAACCTGCCGGTCCCCTTCCTCCTCTCCTGGTAACCTACTACTATTACTACTACTACTAGCAGGCAGTAGCACCAATCTCCTGTTACCAATCGTGCTCTGTTTTTTTTTTTACTGTCTCGCTTAAAAGCTTGCCTGCTCAAGATTGCCATGTTCTCTCTGAATGTTCCGGGATGCAATGCAATGCAACTGGTCGGCTCTTTTCTCATACGGAGGCCCTGAGTCGATGGTCCAGATTTGTAGTTGCAACGGCGTGATCCAGATCATGCTCTGAACTGAATCTTGCAGCCATCTCTGTTCTCTCTCTCGATGGAAGTTAAACGCTAGTGGCTCCTGGCGTGCCCGGGTAAATGGCTAAATGCCAACTCCTTGGCACATGCTATGTCGTTCCTGGGACTAGTGGGATCCGTCTGTTTAGACATGGACACTTGTGTGAAGACGCCAGGCCTTCCAAGTGCAACTTGGCAGTTAAAATTTTCCTTGGATAGAGTAGGCGCAGCTGTGAATCTTGGTTGCCTTGCAGCGCTTGTTTTGTTGCTACTGCATGTCACGTTCATGTCATGGAGAGTGAGCTGTTTCAGGATAAAATTTTCACTACTCCCTTTTCCTTAGTAGCTAGTAGAGGAATCTGATACTGTTTATAATATATTAATATCCGCCCAATCTTTATCCTTATTAATAATTCCCCTCCCTCTTTTACTTGAGCTTTCGCTTTCGTTCCAGATCCAGGATGCAAAGAGCACATGTACAAACAACGCATGCTTCCATAGACCATAGATCAGTGGGCCTCCAGTGGTTTTAGCATTGATAATTTGCACATTAGTGCGATCTGTGGCTTCTTTTGCCTTAAGAGAGTGACAAGAGTGACTCTTGCCACATTAAGGCAGTCACACGAAAACTGTATAAGAAAAAAAAGAAGAAAATGCACATTGTCCAAATTACCTATCGACTGACTATACTGAACGTTAAATGCATCAATCTCATGGCTACTTGATCATGGACCACTGTCCGACGCTGTCGATCAATGTCAATTTTTGAGGATTATCTGTTCCTCTTTTTTTACTGTTCTACATTGCAGGCAAGGAATTCAGCAGAGGAGGAGCTCATGGCAAGACGGCGTGTATGGTACCAACTGCCCGATCCCTCCGGGTGGAAATTTCACTTACAACATGCAGTTCAAGGACCAGATCGGGACCTACTACTACTTCCCTTCCCTTTTATTTCACAAGGCAGCCGGTGGCTATGGTGGCATCAGGGTTCTTAGCCGGCCGAGGATCCCTGTCCCGTTTGACCCACCTGCCGGTGATTTCACCATATTGGCTGGTGACTGGTTCAAGCTCAATCACACTGTATGTTTACATCCTCAAGTATCCTGCATTGCATATTACCGCCCATTTTAGTGCACCCCTAACACTGCAAGTACAAATCTCCGCAGGATTTGAAAGGCATTTTGGACAGTGGTAATGACCTGCCATTTCCTGATGGCCTTCTTATTAACGGCCAAGGCTGGAATGGCAACAGATTTACGGTGGACCAAGGTAAACTATATAATCGAGTACATCAGACAAAAATGCCTGGTAACTGTTAATAATCTTCATATACGCAGAGTTGCGCTAAACTTGCTTGACACAATCTTGCCAGGGAAAACATATCGTTTTCGGGTGTCGAACGTGGGCATAGCAACATCAGTGAATATAAGGATTCAAGGCCATTCCATGCTCCTGGTTGAGGTGGAAGGGTCTCACACCATGCAGAGCACATACACATCCATCGATGTCCATCTAGGCCAATCATACTCGTTCCTTGTTACTGCTGATCAGCCACCTGCAGACTACTCCATAATTGTCTCCACTCGTTTTACCACCCCTGTCCTCACCACCACTGCCATCCTCCACTACAGCAACTCAAATGGTGCTGCAACTGTACCGCCTCCCGCGGCGCCTACAGTTGAGATCGATTTTTCTCTCAACCAGGCTAGGTCGATTCGGTAAGACTGTTACGATTCTTTCAATAATCTTAGCTTCCTCTGAAAACTTTGTTTTGGATATCATATCATACTACCTAACAACATTACTGCCTCAATTTTCATCAAAAAAACATTACTGTCGCATTGAGAAGGACACATGCGTTTTGTCTTCCCTGACTCTTTGCTCTTTGGTAACTTTTGTTGCCTACGTTCTGAACAGGTGGAATCTGACAGCGAGTGGACCGAGGCCAAATCCTCAAGGCTCTTACCACTACGGCCTTGTCAACACCACAAGAACCATCAGACTTGCCAACTCACGGGCAACCATCAATGGCAAGCTGAGATACGCAGTCAACAGCATCTCCTTCATCCCGGCCGACACTCCTCTTAAGGTCGCTGATTTCTACAAGATTCCGGGAGTTTTCATGCTGGGCAGCATGCCCGACAACCCGACGGGTGGCGGCGCCTACCTCCAGACATCTGTCATGGCGGCCAACATGCGGGACTACGTCGAGGTCATCTTTGAAAACACGGAGAACTTTGTGCAGTCATGGCACATCGACGGTTACGCGTTCTGGGTCGTCGGGTGCGTCTCCTAGTTCCATTCTTGCTGATCCTGACATGTTTAGTATCACTGGATCTGAATGACTGAAGATTGGTGTGATTTTGTTTGTTTCCGGATGATCAGGATGGATGGAGGACAGTGGACACCGGCTAGTCGTCAGGGCTACAACCTTAGAGACGCCATTGCTCGGTACACATTGCAGGTATCGTTTAAATTGGTCGCTCTCCGTGTGTGATTCGCCTTCCCGGATATGCAATTGCCATCACAGCACTGTTGCGGTGCCATAACAAGAAGTCAAGAAACACCTGTGCTTGCAAAAGTTGCTCTGATGTCTGAACTCTGAACAACCACTGATGTTCACTTGTGTTACACTGGCCATGTTTTCAGGTGTACCCTCAGTCATGGACAGCTATCTACATGCCGCTGGACAACGTGGGGATGTGGAACGTGAGGTCGGAGAGCTGGGCCAGGCAGTACCTCGGCCAGCAGTTCTACCTCCGCGTCTACTCGCCGGTGAACTCGTGGCGGGACGAGAACCCGATCCCCAAGAACGCGCTGCTCTGTGGCCGGGCCTCTGGGCGCCGGACGAGGCCTCTCTGAAGCTGAAGCCCTGAACCCAAGAAGACCTTGTCTGTTTCCGGCCACGAAGGGGTGGCCGGAACTTCCGGGGATAAGTTGAAGCTGAGGGTAGAGATAATTGCGGTGTTCAGATTGCTGAACAGAGTTCCGTTTTGCACTGTGGCGCTGATAATCGATCAGCTCATATATTATTTAGCAATTGTAGTTAAAACATTCCGATCCCGGTGGATTTGTTGTATGGGAAGCTTTCTCGCTTCCTCGCTCACACCATTGATGATGATAATATTCATAGTTACCTGATTTTTCTTTTTGTTGCATACATGTCAGATTTCTCATCTATTCGAATGAACTGATGCTGAAGAAACACTGAAAGTCGGAAACGAACAATACGTATATAGAAAGAATACGCCTTCATAGCCGTGTAGCGTTCGAGTTCAAAAGGCGCCAGCGTGCAAGAGAAGCAGACAGTTTCAAAATAGTTAACGGCCGGATTAGTTGGATCACTTTGCAAAGCGCCCCCTAAACTTCCTCCTCCTCCCTCGTCTCCCCCAACCGCAAGCTCCTCCTCCCCTCTCCTCTCCCAGTCACTCCCGATCGCTCCCCATTTCGCGCTCTAAACATAGGCGAGCTCGACGCGCGTGCCCGCCATCGCACACGGAATTCCCCATTCCTCCGCGCGAATCTCCCCACAAGCGATCCCCACTGTCGAGGCCCGATTCGAATCACCTTGGTTTTCTCTTCGCGACCGGCGAGGCGGCGGCGAGGATGCCGTGCTAGGCTTGGGTCGGAGGCGAGATGAACATCGTGCGGGGCGTCGCCGATTATCTCCGCAAGGCGCCACCTCCTCCTCCCCCCGCACCGGGCAGTGATGCGGCGCCTACCACCTCCTTCCCCGCCGGCGACTTCGACGACGCGCCCACCCCGTGCGTCGTCTTCAGGTATGCGCGAGAGAATGAGCGCACTCTCTCATTCACCTTCGCACTCCAATACCTTATACATAACGCGACTTGTTTAGTGCGGTGGCCGTGTTGGTTAGGTAATCCCCAATGCTCGTCGCGATTGTGCGAGATTCGAGTTAACTGTTGGAGAAATGCTGTGCCACTTGAAACTCATCATCAGTGGTTCAAAGCGGCAGTGAGCCACTGGGGCTTTGTTTCAGTTGCTAGTTTAATTATATATATTGGCTCCTGACTGTTAAATTAATATTCTGAGTTGTTTAGCATGTTTTTGCATGCTCATTACCTGAACCAATCCACCCATTACTTAAGAATGGTTATACAGACAATTTATACTGATGAGTGCAACCATAGGCTTTGCAAAATAGCAGAAGGAAAGGAAACAGAAAGTGAATGTATATGTGCAAGTGAGATTGAAAACGGGGAAAATATAGCGTCATCTCAATTAACCGTAAAGCCTAAACAAAGACGAAATGACCGTTTCTAATTTGCAGTTGCAACACCATTTTGCCGCAGACTACCGAAGCTTATTTGCCCCTGTGGCAAGCCAGGTGCATTCTTCATCGTTGAAGGCAGCAAAAACTTGTTTGTTGTGACCAAATACTGATGTTAAGTCATGATTCAGATAAAAGTAAACCACTTGTAGCCTCAAGTTAAGCTTGCCCGTGAGTCTTTCCTACCAAATAACACAAAGAACTGTATGATTGTAGCGGACTGCTTGTTAGTTGTTTCAACTCTTTTTCTTGTCTGATGAGTAAGATAGGTGTTGGGCTAGGATAGCCTACCTTAGTTTAGCTGGTTGGTGGTCTTTGTGGTCAGGCTTCACCCCTTTCTCAGTTCTTTTAGTTTAAGTTCTTCAATGTAAAGAAACAACCCCTCGCAGCCCGGCCCGGAGTGAGGTGGTGGTGTTTGTAAGGGGCCGATCCTTTTCTCTCTATAATGCAATGATACGCAGATCTCCAGTGTATTCGAGAAAAAAAATTAAGATAGGTATATGGAATGACATTGCATTGAAAGTCACATTAATCCTTGCCAATTAAGCAAATTATTCATGTTAGCTTGGCACAAGTGTAGCATCTATATGCTGATTTTAATTCTATAAATAAATCTGTCATCAGATCTTGTAGCCTTTTCTTTTTGGTGCTTGACTTGATTGCGTGAATGTTTCTTCTCATGATCTGTTATCTGGTTTCAGTGGTAGTCTGGAGGAGGGAGCCTTGAATGTACTTTTGGAAGAATTATGAGAATGCACTTGATAAGGTAGTTTTCTGAAAGCCTGGCAGTTCCCTTCTAGTTCTGCTTACAATTAGGATCTTAAATTAGACACATATTGCCAATCTAAAAATTTGCTAGATGTTTCAATACTACGATGTAATGTAATGTAAGAGCCTAGAGGACTAGCCAGTGGCCATATATTTTAGTGTCCATTTGACTGTTATCCATGACATGACTTAGTAATGTGTCATCCAAGCATAACTTAGGAGATGACAGGAACACAAATTGTTTGAACAAACAAACATCTTTAAAAATCATAGGCTAATGATTAAAACAGTCTGTTTTAACGCTTGCTAAGTATTTTGGGCACCATGATTAGAGTTTGTTTGTGTGCAGCTAAGATTATTCTTTGCGGAGCAATATATGTTTCTCTAAAAGTTGAAGTTTGGTTCAACTTTGACCCAAAACTAGCCTTAACATGATGATGATTCATTATGCTTTTTCTTCTTCCAAAGATGTAAAAGTCGATGCCTTAAATGCAATAACCCGATATTTGCTTAATGGTAAATAGCATTGATATTTTTGCTCCATGATAACCTAACCTGCTGTAGTACATAACTATTCCGCTGGCAATTGGTTCAGAATTTTATGCAACTATTTTATACAGTTATGCTGTATTACATCTTGTGCTCTTACAGGACGAGAAGGAAAAATCTCTTCAAATTTTTGTCTTGCAATTTGTAGAGACATTCAGAGATTGGGGACCACACCCAATTGAGCAACTGGTTGATCAAGAATTAGGAAACAATGAAACAATTGTAGGATGCTCTTGCGGGCATCCTTCTGAGGTCATTCTTATTCTGATTCAGGAGATTTCTCTAATTACATCAACTTTTACTGAAAGTAAGCGGCTTTATTCTATAGTGACTATTTATTGTGTGATATTCCTCCAATATTCTTTGATTTTTTAAATTCATAATTTTGATGTTTGTTGCATGTGGTAAGTCTCCCCACCTTCCATTCTATGTTCACGAAACAACTCTTTCTTGAGCATGGGTAGAATGCTCTTCTTGGACAAATTTGGCTTCTTAAAATCAAATTTTTGTGGAATTTGCTTCCTAGAAACCTGTTTTTGCGAGTGGACAATGCAAAGTTGTACCAATTTGCAAGTGGACACTGCAGGCGCTGAAAGTTTGGAGTAATATATACTGCTCATAGGGTTGTGGCTTGTGAGAAAACTGATGAAATGACTATTTACCCCTTATACCTGAACTGTTGCCATCAGCTTAAGTGCTACCACTACAAACATCTGAGTTGACATTATATATTTTAATGCTCATCAAACAGGAATTTTGCATAATATTGCTGTGTCCAAGATCCCCACAGAAAACGTCACAAAGCTTGAAAGCCCTTAACCCAAATTTTCCATCTTTTTATGCCCTTCAGGGCTTCAGGCCTTAATATATAATATGCTGATCGCTGAGAAACAAAACACGGTGGAACTTTCAGTGGCATAACAATGACCATAGCTTTGCTTAGTTGAAGAAGTAAAATCAGGTTTACTTATTTTTCATCATATGCCTTTAAAGTTTAAAGTAGTTGAATAAGGAGGAAGTTATTCCAAGGGTACTGCTAAAATGCTGAACTTTTGTTCTATTTGTTGAACACTTTTGCTTTATCTTGTTGAGTCATTGCACTTGGGGCTATTTTTCAGTTGTGTTGTGGTGTGTTGGTGTTTTCTCCCCTTGAACACACTGTGTTGGTGTTGCATTGTGGAATGTAGTTCATTAGAGGTAACCTTTACTGATTTGAAAATAAGTTAGCTTTTATAGCTCTGAACAGATGCTTGAGCAAGTTGAGCATTAATCAATGTGACTTAGTGCAAAAGGACACTATTAGAATTTATTTTCTGAATGAACAATATCTGGTAGAATGCTCACTTTGTGAATGAGAAATAGACTATTGTTGGTTTTGTCATTATATGGATTTTGCTTTTGACAGCTATTCTTATAATTTAAATCATATTTTTTTTTGAAAATAAATTTAAATCATGTTTGTTCTTTTTATTGCATTATTAGGTGGCAACAGTCCGGTATCTCCTACAATTCATCATTCAGGGCAACAAAATAACCTGGGTTTGAGCTCACAGATATTTCAAGTTCTGGAGTGTTTGGAAATTCTGACTCGCTCCTTGCATAACTGTAAAGTATTCAGCTACTATGGTGGTGTACAGAAGATTGCTTCTCTACTAAAAGGTAGGAGTTCAGTCAGGTGCTGATCACCCATTCTAAGAAGTGTGTGGGTACTGGATTCTTGTCCTGTCCTTTTAACCCTTCTTCTTTAATGGAAGGGTGATTAATGACTCGCAGCTCTCCTGCGTATTCAAGTTGACAATTATGCATCATGTATTTTTTTAAGCAACAATTACACATCATTTATTCGTCCTCACTTTGAACAGTTGATTAACCCTAAACCCTGTTAAGTACACTCTTAGAACTTCAAATTGCTAATTTCTTAACTAATGAGCAGTTTTCCACCACCCTCTAAGAGGCTCAGGCACCATGTTTCAAATCCACCACGAGTTTGGTTTTCTTTTATTTGTTTTGTTGGGATTTGAGCTGCTCATGACCTGTATATATACCTCTTTGCTGTTCAGTGAAGTGTACATCATTATACATAACTTCTCAATTCTCTAACTAACATCCGTGAGTCTTTTTTTAATGGATTATATCTCATTAGCTTCCTTTTTTGGTATATTCAGCTGCTGTTGCTCAGCTCAAAAACTTGAACAGGTTGCTGGCTGCAGAAGATCAATCTTCAGATGAAGCAGTGGAAAATGCTAGGCTGATGCTAAATATACTTGTATGCATAATCACTATAATTTCAAACTTCATGAAGTTGGAAATAACTGTTGGAAGGATTCCCCATATTGCCGATACCACAAAGCATACCCCATCAAGCAACCATTTGGCTGCAGTCACGTCTAGCTCTCCTGATAGAACCATTTCTGATACACTTCGACATTGGCAGCAGAAGGCAATTGTTCTTGTGATGGAAGCCAGAGGTGTCAACTGGTTAGTAGGTAATAAAGTTATCTTTAGTTTTCTTTTGGGCTTATGTACTGTGATTCTGGGTATTTCTTTTAGATTATCATGGGGATACTCATTTCTTGGGTATATTGTGCTGATGCTATAGTACCTACTGGATTGTCATATAGGCCTGTTTACTGAAAAAGAAAAAGATTCACTATGGGTGTAGTAAAATTAGGACCATTTCTTTGTCCCTTTTCAGTAAATTTCTAGTCTACATATTATGAAAAGTACTAATAAAGAGGTTGTGCAATTAATGGTGCCACTATATTGCCCATTCTTTTTTACAGAAAATCATATGCGCTATTATTGAATTATACCATATTTTTTTAATAAATCTCTAAATGATACTGCAGAACTATTACGTGTCGTTCAAAGGTTGAATTTGAAAGAGCAGTGCATTGATCTCACACTCCATTTTATTACTTTGTGCACTCTGCGATCAACTGTTTCTGGTACTCGTGCTCAGAATCATCTCAGAAGCATTGGTGGGCTGGAAATTCTATTAGATGGACTTGGACTTCCTTCTAGTAAATTTTCAGTTTTGAGGCAATCATCTATCTCAAGAAATGAAAGGTGCATTTTTGCAGCGCCATGGTTTACTATTATTTATTATTTTGTGCTTTCTGTTAGAATTAATTGCTCATTTACTGTAATCTCCTAGCTAACTGTGCAGGCGCCAGCTATACTGGCCCTCTCACACTGCTGGCCCCTTGGGCCATCCCCTCTCTCTCCTATATAAGTGTAATCCCTTCTGTAATCCATTATCAAGGAATGTACAAAGCCTAATGGCCTTTGTCTAATATGGTATCAGTCTAATCGTATCCCCTGCTTCCGCTACTTTCTGCCGCGCGCGCGCCTCTCCGGCCGCCGCGCTCTGGCTGCTGCGCCCGCCCCAACGGCCGCCGCGCGCCCTCCTCCGGCCGCCGCGCGTACCCCGCCGGTTCCCGTACCCATGGCTGCTCTTTCCTCCGGCGGCGATTCCGGCTCCGGCGCCTCGGCTGCCGCCGCCGCGACCAAGCTCCGCGACGAGGCGCTCGCCGCCGCCAAGGCTCTGGAAGTTGAGGCCGCCTCCCTGCGCGACTCCAACCAGGCGCGCAGCGCCCAACTCAAGGAGGAGGCGGACCTCCTCAAGTCCGCCGCCGCCGCCCAGGAGCGGGTCCGCGCTGCTGCCGCCGCTCTCGACTTGGAGCGCGAGCAGGCCGACCTGCTGGAACAGCAGGCTGCGGCCCTCCGCGCGCGGCTCCACCCCGAGCACCACCGCGACGACGACTCGGAGGGCGACACCGACTCCATTGCCACGGAGACTGCGGTTGTCGCCCATCTTCATAGCCAGGCGGCCGCTGTGCAGAACATCAAGAACCTCATCCCTATTGTTCTTGATCTACAAGCCTCAAACTACTCCAAATGGCGTGGTTACATCCTGCTCATCCTCGGCCGGTTTGCCCTGAAGGACCACGTCCTCAGCAACGCCATCCACCACCACGATGCGGCATGGTCCCGCATGGACTGTGTTGTCGTCTCATGGATCCTCAACACCATCGCCCCTGACCTCCTCGACGTCATCCACGAGCGTGACGGCATCACTGCTCGGGCGGCGTGGCTCGGCCTCGAGCAGCAATTCTTCAACAACCGTGAATCACGCGCCATGCTCCTCGACGCCGAGTTCCGCACTCTCTGCCAGGGTGCTCTATCTGTGGATGAATACTGTCGCAAGATGAAGCACATGGCGGACGCGCGCCGCCGACCTTGGCGAACCCGTCTGGACCGGACCACGGTGTTGAATGTCGCTGCTGCGGCCTCAACGAACGCTTCAGCCTCATGTCGCAGCTCGTCCACGAGGCGAAGCCCTTCCCATCCTTCGCCGACGTCTGTGGCTGACTGAGGTGGCCGAACTCAACATGGCGCTCACCTTCACTCCGCCTCGGCCCTCATCACCGGCGCCGTCGAAAGAAGCCGCCGCGCTCCGTCCCCGCTCCTCGGCGCCCTCCACGGCCGGGGGACAGCAGCTTCGCCACACCCTTCTCCTTCACGCCATCCTCAGTCATGGGGGCCGCCAGATCCAAGAACAACAATAACCACGGACGACGTCGCGCGCGCGTGGACGCGCCAAAGGCGGCGCCCAAGCCGGCACTCAAGCCGGCCCACCGAATGGCCAACAGTGGCCATCCTTCTTCAACCCATGGACCGGGTCCATCCAGATGTGGCCCGGGTCCAACCCAGGCGGCTCTCGCGGTCCACCGCCCCACGTGCCTCCACCTCCACCGCCACAAAGAAGCTCTCATGGCTGGGTGCCCCGGGTTACCGGCTCCTCCGCCGGTCCCCGGGGCATACTACCAGGCGCCCACCTCGCCGTCGCCCTGGACTACTGAGGGCCTCGCCAACGCTTTCAGCACCGTCACCCTCACTCCGCCGTCAAGCACCTCGGATTGGGTCTTCGACTCGGGTGCTTCCTCTCACATAGCCGGCACTCCTGGTATGGTCACCATGTCACCAACCTCCTCCTTTCCTTCTTCAATTGTTGTGGGAAATGGCGCCACTCTTCCGGTTGTTGGCACCGGCTACTCAACCCTCCCTGGCCCATTTCGCCTCAACAATGTTCTCATTGCCCCTGACATTATTAGAAATCTCTTGTCAATTCGGAAATTCACCACTGATAATCTTGTTTCTGTCGAGTTTGACTCTCTTGGTGTTTTTGTGAAGGATCTTCGTACCAGGAACCTCCTCCTTCGCTGTGACAGCTCGGGACCCCTCTACACCTTACAGCTCCCGACATCACCATCTGGTTCCTGCGCTCTCGTGGCCACTCCCTCCTCCACTACTTGGCATTATCGGCTCGGTCATCCCGGGAAGGCTACTCTTCAGACTCTTGCCAAGTCGTCCTCCATCATCTGCAGCAAGCCCGACGATGACACTCTCTGCCATGCTTGCCAGCTTGGGCGTCATGTCCGCTTGCCTTTTAACAATTCCTTGTCTCGTGCAACTAAAAATTTCGACTTGATACATTGTGATTTGTGGACTTCCCCAATCGTCAGTGTATCCGGTTTCAAATATTATCTAGTCATTATTGATGATTGCTCGCATTTTGTTTGGACTTTCCCTCTTAAGCTAAAGTCTGACACCTTTAACGCTCTCCCCATTTTTTTTTGCCTATGTGCTCACTCAATTTGGTTGCACCATCAAGACTGTGCAGTGTGACAACGGGCGTGAGTTTGACAACTCCGCGTCTCGCGCTTTCTTTTCTGCCAAAGGTGTCACCCTTCGCATGTCATGCCCCTACACCTCGCAGCAAAATGGCAAAGCCGAGCACATGCTTCGCACCGTCAACAACGTCACCCGCACCTTGCTCTTCCAAGCATCCATGCCCCCCACTTACTAGGCTGATGCCCTTGCCACCACCACTCTCCTCATCAATCGCCTCCCAACCAAGACCCTGAACATGAGCACTCCCTTCTTTGCCCTCCATGGCACTCTCCCCTCCTACCATGACCTTCGAGCTTTCGGGTGCACCTGCTACCCCAACCTCACCGCCACCACTCCTCACAAGCTCGCTCCACGATCTTCCTTGTGCGTCTTTCTTGGCTATTCTCCTGACCACAAGGGGTATAGGTGCCTTGACCTCGCCACAAACCGCGTCATCATCTCACGCCACGTTGTCTTCGACGAGACAACGTTCCCTTTCTCCCTCCGTCGACCTTCGCCACCCACCCACGAGCTTGACTTTCTAACTAACGACGATTCGTCGTCAGTTTTACTTCCACCTGCAGTACACGTCAAACCTGCCAGCCCTCTGCCACCGTGTGGTGCCCTCCCAAATGGTGCCCACCTTGGCGCGATCGTCCCTCCGGCAGCCTCCGTCCAAGCCTTCGTGCCCGTGGCCACGGGCTCTCTCCCGAGCTTGATCTGTCAGACGCCCATGGCGCCCTCGGGACAGGCGCCCACTTCGTCGGCGCCCATGGCGCCCTCTGCAGAGGCGCCCCCGGCGCCCTCTGCTCCGGTGCCCACGGGTCCTTCTGTACAGGCACCCGTGGTGGCACCCCCTGTACAACTACCTCCGGCGCCCTCCTTCAACAAACCACCGGTCATTCATGTCTACACCCAAGGTCCACCCCCAGCCTCACTCCACCACCGTCCCCTGTTGGACCACCTCTCGGCGCTCCACAATGATTCCTTCACTTCCAAGGCTTCCGTCAAGAGTGACCCTCCTCTTCCAACAGGAGCTGTCCCCATCCCGCCAGTCGCCAACACTCATGGCATGGCGACCCGCGGGAAGTCCGGCCGACAGTCGCGCCTCGCGCTGCACACTGAGGCTCTGTCACCTCTACCACGCTCCTGTCGTGACGCCCTCGCCGACCCACACTGGCGTCGGGCCATGGAAGAGGAGTATGCTGCCCTACAGGACAACAACACTTGGGATCTCGTTCCCCGTCCTGCCAAGGCAAATGTGGTCACCGGCAAATGGATCTTCAAGCATAAGTTTCATGCCGATGGTTCCTCGGATGATACAAGGCTCATTGGGTGCTTGGCAGGGTTCACCTAACGTCCGGCGTTGATTACGACGAGACATTCAGCCCTGTCGTCAAGCCTGCTACCGTCCGGACTGTCCTCACCTTGGCTCACTCCCGGGATTGGCCAATTCATCAACTTGATGTGAAAAACGCCTTCCTCCATGGGACCCTGTCAGAAACAGTCTACTGCTCACAACCCACTGGTTTTGCTGATCCTGCACTTCCTGGGCATGTATGCAAGCTCAACAGATCCCTCTATGGACTAAAGCAGGCTCCACGGGCATGGTACAGCCGGTTTGCCTCCTTCCTACTTTCTTTGGGTTTCAGTGAAGCAAAGTCAGATGCATCCCTCTTCATACTTCGCCGTGCCACCGAGACAGTCTACTTGCTTCTCTATGTCGACGACATCGTCCTCACTGCCTCCTCCGAGCAGCTACTGCATCGCCTGATTGCAGCCCTCAAGAACGAGTTTGCCATGAAGGACCTTGGCCCCTTCACCATTTCCTCGGATGGGCGCTTCAGGCGCCACAAGGATCACCTCACTCATCACAAATATCATTACATCCTCGGACATTCTTGCTCGCCATGGGATGAGCAACTGCAAGCCTTGCTCGACTCCTGTTGACACCTGCGCCAAAGTTCCTGCAGATGCCGGTCCTCCTGTTGCTGATCCCACTGCCTACCGCAGCCTTGCGGTGTGCACTCCAATGCGACATTTACTCGACCCGACATTGCGTATCTTCATCCAAAGAATCTGCCTTCACATGCATGATCCCCGGAAGTTCACCTTGTGGCCGCCAAGCGGATCCTTCGGTACCTTCAGGGCACCCTCAACTTCGGTCTGATTATTCCTCGGTCTGCTCCAACGCAACTTGTTGTGTATACTGATGCGGATTGGGCCGGCTGCCCTGACACCCGATGCTCCACCTCTGGCTATGCTGTCTTCCTCGGGGGCAGTCTCATCTCCTGGTCCTCCAAGCGGCAGCCCATCGTCTCTCTCGGTCGAAAGGCGAGGCTGAGTATCGGTTGTTGCCAACGGCGTTGCCGAAGCATCCTGGCTGCAGCAACTTCTACAGGAGCTGCACCACCCTTCTGATCGCCTCCCTCGTCTCTCATCATAACGTCGCCGCCGTCTACCTCTCCTCCAACCCCATTCAGCATCAGCGCACCAAGCACGTGGAAATCGACCTCCATTTCGTCTGAGAACGCGTTGCTATTGGTGCTGTTCGTGTGCTTCACGTTCCCACCACCTCACAGCTCGCAGATGTCTTCACCAAAGGGCTTCCGTCTTCTGTGTTCATGGACTTTCGCTCCAATCTGAACGTTCGCTCCACCGCCGTTCCGATTGCTGCAGAGAGTGTTAGAATTAATTGCTCATTTATTGTAATCTCCTAGCTAACTGTGCAGGCGCCAGCTATACTGGCCCTCTCACACTGCTGGCCCCCCTTCTGTAATCCATTATCAAGGAATATACAAAGCCTAATGGCCTTTGTCTAATACTTTCATTCCCTTTTCTATTTCTTATGCATAGAATCGCAAATTTGCTGCATAAACTTGAAGACAAATATTGACCAATGATTTTCTGTATTGAGCAAAATCTATTTTTCTAAATACTTGGAGCTAAAAATCTGATAGTATTAAATTTGAATTTGCCCAAATGCTAAATGTCTAGTAGTATTACATTCGTACTGTATACCCAAATGTTACTAGTCTGATAGTATTTAATTTGAATTTGGTACATAAATATTATTTGTGCATCATAGCTAAATTTGGTTTTTGAATGTGACATTCCTATTTTGGAATTTCAGCTTCAAAAATTTAGATTGTTCTGTGCTTTTATTCACATAATTGATTTCTCTTATGGTGCAGAATGGCTGAAAGTTTGAACCATACTCTTTTGATACTCCACATATAGTTTCTCTTTTATACATTGGTCTTACTGTTTAGGTTGGTGTTTATTTAGTTACAGAGGAGTCCATCCCTCCAATTTGTTTTTCGGCTTTTGACATCTATGCAAACTAACTGTATGGTAATATGTTAATCTTGTAATGAACATTTTACCTTTTTCTAATAAAAAAGGTCCACAGTGATGTATGAGAATCTCAATCCTTTAGGGCCTTATGGTTGTTTTCAACTTTATATAGTGCGATAGGTTTTACCTCCTTGTTTCTTGTGCACCTTTTATGTTCTAACATTTCTGTACTCTTATAGGGCTGAAATACTTCTGCTCCAGATACAGTATTTGCAAACTCTGAGTGAGGCAGTGTATCCTTTGTTTTCAATTACTTTTATGTGGACTTAGCATATGAGTTGTAACTTTCAGAATATTAATAGACTCTGCTAATATATAGTTCAGGTAGATTCTTGGTCATGCCATAGGAGGCATTGATGTACTAGCTAATTGTTGAGTCCTTGACTTCTAATTAGATTTGGCAACGTCAACAATTTGAAAATTTTATGTGAAAATGGACGGGTACACAAATTCGCAAACTGCATTTGTTGGCCTGCATTTATGATTCAGAAGTTTCATCGGCAAAAGGATAATACCAAAGCTTCACCTACACTAGATTCTGTCTCTGGTCCAATTTATTGTCTTGATAGAACTGAATGGATTGACTACTCTATAAAATTGAGCAATGTCCTTTGTTCTTTTGTTCTTCCTTCGGAGGATATCGGACACTGTTCTGATGAAATAGCTGTCAGCCAAATTGTATTATCCATCCCATTGGCATACCTGGAGCAATCTGTGAGATGGATCATAAGGATTCTTATGACCGTCTTTCTATGTATCAGAGCGTGTACCAAGGAAACTGAGCTGCCAAACCACATAAAGTGAGTTTTTTCTTAATGTAGTCATGAATCTCCCTTTGAACCAGAATATTTAAGTATTTAACTATCGCGTTTCGTTAAGTTTGTTTCACCACAAAGAAGATATACTTTTTGGAATTTGACACATTTTCCCATCATAACGCTTTGCTGGAATAGTCAGTCTTTCATCAATGGCAACTCTAACATATTAATTAGTTATATTTATTAGGTAGCTATTAATCTTCTGAACCCTGTAGTCAGTTGCAACTGCTTTCTGTGCAATAGATTAGTATGTTACCAGATAGCAGCTACTACTGTACAAAGTACTAACCAAATCCTGAACTCATTCTGCAGGATTTTTTCAAAGACCCTTCAATATTACGTGATTCACATGTTCAAAAGAGTTCTTATTTCAACACCAGCTCTACTCCCAGCTTTCCGAGAGGAAGGTGTTTGGGACCTGATATTCTCAGGGAATTTTTTCTACTTTGGTTCATCTGTAGAAGACACTTGTTTTCATACTGTTACAGATATTCAAAATGGTGATGTTAACAGTAACCAAATATCTATTCATTCTGAAAGCTTGTATCGTACCGATGTTAAAATTCTTCAAGCGGAAGCTATTTCCTTCTTGGAGTTTGCTGCAACACTCCATGAAAACACATATAACACGGTAAAACTTTTGTCTTTTATAATGTAATATTGTAGGCTCAGTGTCTAATCACCAGTATTTTTTTGTTTTTTTTTTCTCGAACACACCAGTATTTTGTTCTGAATCTCTTCTACTTTATTTTTCTTTTCATTGTAGCCAGAATGCTCGGCACTGCTAGATGCACTTGAACATTGCATTTCTGATCCTTTGGCAGTTAGCACTCTTCTCAAAAGCTTCCGTGTTATTCTACAACTTGCGACAGAACATACTCTAGCTTCATTTGAATCTTTGGATGTAATTACAAGAGTCCTTAAGGCTGCTTGCCGTCAGGCACAAGAGCTACGAAACTTCAGCAATTTTCTTTGTTCTCAATTTAAAAATATTGAAGGCAGAACTGAGGACGCTCTTATATGTACAGAATTAGCTTTGAGCCTCTTTATGGAATATGTCACTATATCGATAGATGGAAGAATTCTCGTTTTGCACAATGCTGACTGTATTGAGTGCTTATTTGACTTGTTCCATGAACAGAACATTCGAAAGCATGTGCTGGAGCAAGTTCTTGCCTTATTTAGGGTAAATCTATGCTTATCTTCTGTTCTAAAAAAGTTTATGTTTACCATAAGTTCTCCTTCAGTCTTCTTATTAATGTTGGGAGCTAAAATATGGTTCCCTGTAACCAGTTGCCTTCATCGTCAGCACAAGATCATACAGCAAAGTTGCAGTTATGCTCAAAGTATTTAGAGAACTTAGCACGGGCAAATGAAAAAGAAAAGGTCAACACAGAGTTGTTAATTGACCTTCTGGTCAACATGAGAGAGATCATAATGATGGATCACATGGTAGGTTCCATAATGGTTTTGTATGTAGTAGTAGAATTACAATTGTTTTGCCATACCAGTAATGCATAATGGTTGACAAATGTTCTTCTATACTTCACTTTCTAGTACTATCAAAATCTGTTTCGCGACGAAGGGTGCTTTCTTCATATTATTTCCTTATTGAATGGAAATTTCAATAAGGTGACTGATGAGCGGCTTGTCCTTAATGTCCTTCAGACCTTAACTTTATTACTTGAAGGGAATGATGCATCTAAGGTAATCATATTGACACATGTGGTTCATGCAATAACTCTGTTTGGTGTGTGACAACAATCTTGGTTCGTTTTGTCTAGGGTGCCTTTAGGTTAGTAGTTGGTGCAGGTTATCAAACATTACAGAGCCTGGTACTGGATTTCTACAAATGGTCGCCAAGTGGGAGACTCTTGGATGCATTGCTTTGCATGCTGGTTGATTGCAAGTTTGAGTTAGATGAGAAAACAACTATAAAGGCTAGTAGTTATCAATCTTTTGAAAAGCTAATACAATATAAGTGTTTCTGGGTTCATTTAATTATGGCATGCTTCGTTCTTTCATTATCTTTACTAATATAATGTTTGCCCTATAATTATTTCAGAATGAAGATGCTGTTGTATTACTTCTAAATATTTTGCAGAAGGTCTTTTCTCTTACGCACAGAGATGATAGTACCATTTCCTCTTATAATTCCCATTTATATGCTTTTTTCTTGACATCAACCAATTTCTAATTGGCAGAGCAGCACGCCACTTCAGCACTATGGGCTTGTAATCTTACAGCAGTTGCTCAAGCAATCCATTACAAATAGAACCTCTTGTTTCAGAGCCGGGTTGCTTAGTTTTCTTCTTGATTGGTTTTCAGTAGAGGAAAAGGATGATACAGTTATTGCTATTGCAGAGTTAATACAGATACTTGGTGCACACAGTATATGTGGCAAGGACATCCGGAAAATCTTTGCCCTTTTGCGTTGTGAGAAGATTGGTGCCAAACACAAGCACACGTCTTTGCTTCTGACAAGTCTCAGTCACATGCTGAAGGAAAAGGGGCCAGAAGCTTTCTTTGAGTTCAGTGGCCATGATTCTGTGCGTGTTGTCCTATTTATTTAGCAATTTAAAATTTCGTCTGTTGTGATCCATAGTTGATTTTCAAAGATTATGCGCATAAAACAAAGTTGAGCAATTCAGGATAGGACACCGAGTTCAATGGTAATTTTGTGACTGTCTCATTGGCATGTGGCCCTGAACCCCACGTCATTGAGATATAAAAAAACTAGACCAACCCAGGAGGAACCAGGTGGCATTTCATTAGGAAGAAAATAGGCGCCCAAATTTGCCTCGATGAGGGCTTGGACCTAGGTGGTCTGGGTATACATCCACACCCTTGACCAACTGAGCTAGCTCATCAAGATACAAATCCTGAATTACCACTGAATTTATTGTGAAGTACTTAATTATACTGTCAAAATTGTGCAGTTATTCAACACTAATGATTCTTTTGAATCCATGAGCATCAGAATGTGAAAGTACTCATCTCTCTTATCCTGCTACAAGAAAACATATATATAAATATATATAGTTTGTTTGAGAAAAAAACATATTTATAGTGTCTCATCAAGCTGTACTTTGACTGCTTCTTATCTCATTATATAATTGGGTCAATGCTAGTAAATGGCAAAGGTGTCGGCAATAGTAGCTGGAAGCTATTCAGACATGGAGTGCAAGAGAGGTCAGGTGCTTTTAAAAGCAACGGAAGAAGAAAATTAGGATTTTTAATATTAGGGATAGATTGTATTTCATCATGAACCTTTGAAGGCTTTTGATACAGATGTTCTGCCAATAATTTTTTTTTTCACTTCATGGGCTTGGGCTCCTTTGATATTTTACACACTGAGGAGTTGAGGTTTTGGAGTTTGGCTGGGGCTTGAGGTGTGTCTTATCTCCTTGCCCTTGCGCCAATTGGTACCTAAAGTTTGGCCAGGATTGTTTTTTCCTTGTTTACTAGGTGCGTGAGTTTTATTTTCTTCTAGTGCTAGGTGTTTGTGTGTGTGTGATCAGTATGGAGGCTCTAACCCCCCTCTTTTCTTCTTAATATAATGATACACAACTCTCATGCGTGTTCGAGAAAAAAAAAACTTCCCTAATTCTGCTTTTAAAGTATTTGATTTGTTGATTGACTGGCATTCTTTCTTTTTCCTTGACAGGGTATAGAAATAAAATCACCCTTTCTATGGCCTTACAATAGAGGGCTATCTTTTTCTTGCTGGTTAAGGGTTGAAAACTTCCCAGACAGTGGCATGATGGGCCTTTTCTCCTTTTTCACAGAAGACGGAAAGGGGTGCTCAGCTGTTCTTAACAGAAGTGCTTTAGTATATGAGGTAATTGTGATTTTATCCCCACTTTTGAATCAAATCAAGTTAGGTCCCATTTGGCTCCAAAAGGATTTTAAGAATCTGGATAAAAAAAAAATCTAATGTGTTTTATTGGATTGTGTGTCTGTATGTTAAAATCCACTAGAATCTAGTCTGTTTGGATGGGATTCTAGGATTCTGAGATTTTTTTTAATCCAGATTCTTAGAACTCCTTAAGTGCCAAATGGGACCTTATTCAGTACAGAAATATTTATTGGATGTGTATTTACTTTGCAACAAAGAAATGTGCCATTAGCTAACTAGTGTATAAACATGATTTACCTTTAGAGGGGCCACTCCTCAATCCTCACTATTGGAGCTTTTCTTTAATTATTGAACTAGTTTGAGCCAGATGGGTTTTGACACGAATTGATTATTTGGTCTGCACAACCCATAGCTTCTTGTGTAATATATTTTGATAGATGTTAATATTTTTTTGCTAAACTTGGTCAAAGTTAGATGAGTTTGACTTAAGACAAAGCTAAAATGACTTAATAATTTGAAACGGTGGGAGTAGATGAGACCTTGGCTGCATCTGATCATTGACATTGGTTACATCAGTTAACCATGTTCCACTATTTATTGACTTCCAGCTTGCTTGACAAATAAATGGAAGTTGGCATAATAAAATCTCATTAGGAACATACTTGGTTTGTAAATAAATTTAAGAAATAGGTTGAATCCAATGGGACCATTTTTTTGGAAAAAAGAAGTGCTAATCTAGGCCATATGGATCCATTTGTAATGTTACATGATTTTGATGTCTGTACAATATGCATTTGACTCATGATGTAGTAATGCTGATTCCTGTTTGAAGAAATTTCAGCTATTTCTTATAGTTTTGTATGATATTTATGGGTTATGACTGATTATTTATAGGTTTTCAAACAATTCTCTAGCTATATTGTAATTTGCAGATGTGCAATACAGCTGAGCTTAGAGACCCTTTTTTTCCCCTTTGATCTGGACTTTCGAATCTCTAGAGTATAAAGTACTTTGTGTTTGTTTTTTCATCATAGGAGCTGTCAATATCTTACTCTGCACAACTTGAATTTATAACTTTCGCAGGAATAACGAACCCATGCTAAACTCTGGTCTTTCCCTGTTGGCAGTCTATCTATCAAAAACATCAGTGTGTTTTGTTACCACTCAAGCTCCCACCAAAGGAATGGAGATTCCTTTCTGTTACTCATACAATTGGGAGGGCTTTCTCTGGAGGAAGCCAACTGAGGTGTTATGTAGATGGAGAGCTAGTATCATCCGAGAAGTGTGGGTGAGCAAATTCATCTGCATTTGCAATTTCAAATAACATTAAATTAGACTGAAAATCATGTGAGCTCCATTCTCCATTTTAGGTGTATATAATGCGTGAATTAGTTATGGTCTTCTGGGCCTATGTAGTTCTAGAAAAAACTAGACCAACCCAAGCGGTGTCTATATATACCGCCCAAGAGGTTCAATGCAAATCCTTCCTAGTTCGAGCAGCAACAGATCGTCATGGTGGCTCACTGTGGGCATCGATGGGCCGCTGCACTGCTCGTCATCGTCGTCGACCCTCTTCACCGCCCTGTGGAGTCGCCATTGTTGGGAACCGCTGCCCTCCCTAGCACGCCCGATCCGCCTCCCCTCCCAGTCTCCCACCCCAGCACCGGTGCTTCCTCTGCCCTTGAGTGTGAACGTGTGGCTGTGGAGGAGGTCCTTGGGGATGCCGGGTTGCCGCTGTTCCGTTGGGGATGCCGGGTTGCTGCACCATGGTGGCTGGTCATCGTGAGTGGATGTCGGACCATCGTGCCGTCCCCCAGGCTTGCGACCACCTTATGAACTGATCAAGGATCAGGATTGCGTCGCTGTCAATCAATCCCTCAATGCTCAATCCTTGACTCTTCCAAGAGCAATGCCGGTCACTGCCTATCCATATGATGACGCCACCCATGCTGCTGGTCCTCTTCACGCTGGCTCTAGATTCGAGTCCATGCCTACTGCCCCTATGGGACATCGCCACTAATGTCGCTGAGGGATGACGTGTGCGTGCTTGTTGATACGTCTGAGCAGCCCCATCTACCTTCGCTGTTTGGTCAGCTCATCGTCCTGCTACGGTTCGTCGGCTGGAAGCTGGTGATTATGTGTACTCGTGTGTCTCTGTTAATTCTTTGGATCCACGCCTCCTTCCACGGCTTTGATTACGTCCACTTCAATCTCAGAGATACTTCGGTGACAAGAAGGGCCAGTCTGACAGTCTGCGTTGTCCCACTACGACCGCCGGGGGGTGTTACATTATATTTGGTAGTTAGGATTGTAATTCGATATTGCCATATGTATCCCAGGTGATGTCTGCCCCCCTGAGTCTCTATACTCTATATGTACCACTCAAGAGGCTCAATACAATACGTCCATGTATTATACGCAATCCTTCCTGCTCACAGGAGGAACTAGGTGGCTTTATATTTTTAGAGTAAAAGTGCACAGTGTCCCTAAACTTGCCTTGCTGTGTCATCCTGGTGGTGACACAGCAGTGCAAGTTTAGGGACTGCTGGTACACTTTACTCTATATTTTAAGTAGAAAATATGCACCCAAATTTGCCTTGACGAGGATTTAACCTTAGGTGGTCTAGGCATACATCCATACTCTCAACCAGGTGAGGTAGGCTCTGATATAGCCTATGTAGTCCTGGCAAACCACTTCACAAAATGTTATTTGACAAATTAATGTATCAAAGTTTTTATTTAGCAGTGTGCAGCACAGCACAGCTGCACCACTGTTGACGAACCAAAATCCTACAATTTTCGTTAGAAACTTTATCATAATCACATCTTAAAAATCCTAACAGTGTTTGGTCTTTTGTTTATGAATTCAAATTTTCATAAAGTAATGATGCATTCGTGACACTACAATTTATTTCATGTCTCCATTACCAAATGAGTGCTGTTAACTTGTTTTACAGCATTTACATGTGCTATATATCTTTTAGAACTTTGATATCTATCTGAAGCGGCCACATGGAAATTTTGTTGGTAGTTCATCATGAAAGCTGGTTACATAAAATAGTTTTTAATAAGTTTTGCTGATTTGTTTTTGTGCAAGTGAAGTTTAACAACATCAATACTTATTTAATAAAAAATAATTTTTAAAAAAAAATGAGAAAAGGCACCAATCAAGATCGCTACACATCGGATACATACTGAATACTAGCATCTAAAGTACCAGGTTCTTTTTTTTCTTGAACATGTAGGAGAGCTGCGTATCATTATATTAAGAAGAAAAGGAGTCTAAGAAGACTCAAAACAAGCCCATTAGGGCATGAGTTTACATGAGCGATTAGCCAGGAAAACTATTAGACATGTATAGTCCTGTATACATTGTATACATGTCCAAATACAATGTATACAGGACTTTACATGTCTAATACTATACATGGATAGCTATCCTATACAATCGATCCTAATGGATCCTTTCCTAATACCCGCCAGCAATCGTAGCGGTAGGATCACGGACGCTGGTCCGAAAGTCGGTGAACAACTGTACAGGAAGACCCTTGGTCATGATATCCGTGAACTGGTGCACCGAGGGAACATGGAGGACGCGAACCTGGCCCAGGGCCAGCTTTCAATTGATCCTAATGGATCCTTTCCTAATAGATATGCTGATTTAGTCGAGAATTCTCTGGAAGGAGATGGTGTCCAAAGATGCTGGTCTTCCACTCCAGGAGTAAGGACCACCTCAAATAAGATCTCCCATAATTGCAGGTATTCCAATAGAGCTTCTGTTGTCAGACCACCCCTAATATCTGAACCACGAGTTATCCATCAATGCTGTATGAACTGTTCTTCGGTTTAAAATTTTCTTAGGCACATACCTATACAAGGATGGCGCAAGGTCTGTCAAGGATTTCCCATACACTCATTTATCACACCAGAAGAGTGTCTTGTATCCATCACCCACAATAGAAATAACCAAAGTAGAGAACATTGCCACTGAATTAGGATGCACCTGAATGTCAAGACCAGCCCATGGATGGCAGGTTGTGTCTTCTTTGTTAGGAGTGAATGAACTCAATGCATTACGGTGGGCTTCAGCCCAAACATGTACATGGGCAAATATGCATAGAAGCCCTTACACAAAGAGGAAATAGCAAAGACACCTATACATCTATATCTAACACCCCCCTCAAACTCGGGGTGGATCACTTAAAACTGAGTTTGGAGAGAAAGAAACTATGTTGAGCTCTTGTCATGCCTTTGTGAAGAAATCAATAACCCAGGCTCAAGGCACATATAGCGAAGAGTAATGACATCATCCTGCACTTGTGCCCGAGTGTAAGACGCATCAACACCGATATGCTTGGTGAGGTCATGCTTCACCGGATCATGAGCTATGCTGATAGCACCGGTACTGTCAGACAAGAGAGGAGTTGGCACAGAAACTGAAACACCAAAATCCTCAATTAGCCATCGCAACCAAGTAACCTCTGCTGTCGCAAGAGCCATAGCTCGCAACTCAGCCTCTGCACTCGAACGAGAAACCATGGTCTGCTTCTTAGTCTTCCAAGCAATTAGAGAACCACCGAGAAAACACAATAGGGTTGAAAGAGAGCGACGATCGGAAGAGTCGCTAGCCCAAGTAGCATCGGAGTAGGCTTGGAGTTGAAAAGAGCTAGAGCGTGGGAAGAACAGACGGCGTAGTAATGGTCCCACGAAGGTAACGCAAGACACACGAAGAAGATGACTATAGTGGAGGTGAGTGGGAGCGGAAACAAACTGACTAAGAATGTGCACAGCATATGAAATGTCAGGACGAGTCACACCTAAATAGACAAGACTCCCAACAATATGACGATATCGAGTGGGATCAGTGAGAGGTTCACCATCAGTTGTGCGAAGATGAAGATTAAGCTCTATGGGAGTCTCAACAGTGCGATGATCAGTGAGGGAAGAACGATCAAGAAGATCTTGAATGTACTTTTCTTGGGACAGATAAATGCCATCAGAGGTTGAAGAGACCTCAATCCCAAGAAAGTAACGAAGAGGGCCAAGATCGGACATGAGAAACTGCTCACTGAGACGTGCCTTCACAAATGCAATATACTCAGAATCATCACCAGTGATGAGCATATCATCAACATAAAGAAGAAGAAGAGTGCGGCCACGAGATGAATTATGAACAAACAAGGCAGGGTCATGAGCACTCGGAGAAAAACCAACAGCTGTGATCACAGAGGAAAAACGCTGAAACCAAGCGCGAGGAGCTTGTTTCAGTCCATAAAGAGAGCGACGAAGACGACAAACGTTGCCATCAGGAACAAGATACCCAGGAGGTGGTCGCATGTAGACCTCCTCATGGAGTTCACCATTAAGAAAGGCATTTTTGACATCGAGTTGAGAAATGGACCAGGCACGAACAGAGGCCACAGCAAGGAGAGTGCGAATAGTGGTCATGTGAGCCACAGGAGCAAAAGTCTCATCATAGTCACGACCATGCTCCTGTTGAAAACCACGAGCAACAAGACGGGCCTTATAACGCTCGAGAGAGCCATCTGAGCGAGTCTTAATCTTATAAACCCACTTACACGTGATGGGACGAGCATGAGAAGGAAGAGGAACAAGATCCCAAGTGCCAGTGCGCTCTAGAGCAGCAATCTCCTCAGCCATGGCATGTTGCCATTCTGGATGACAAATGGCATCATGGTATGTGGCCGGCTCAGAAAGAACGGTGCCAGCAAAACCATACCGGTTTGTAGGCTTTAGCGATCCACGATCACGAAGATCATAACGAGAGGATGGCTGAGAGGAAATATCCGCAACCGAAGATGTCTCAACCGGAGGTGAAACATCAGGAGACGCCTCAACAGGAGGCGAGGGATTCTGGAGGCGACGACTGTAGGTGTGAATCACAGGGGGTTTGGAATCATAAATGGACCTAAAAGGAACATGTGAAGGCGGCTGAGAAGGCGGCGAAGGAGAGGGTGCAAGAGGAGATGGTGGAGGAGGAAGAAACACAGTGGAGATAGGTGTATCAGGAAAGATCAAGAAGGAAAGAGGCTCAACAACGGTCTGGGGAGAAACATCAGAGGTAGGCCGAGGATAGAATGAGCGAGACTCGTCAAAAGTAACGTCCCGAGAAATCCGCAGACGACGAGCAACAGGGTCCCAACAACGATATCCCTTGTGTTCAGCACTATAGCCCAGGAAAACACACTCAACAGATTGAGATGTCAGCTTAGTGCGTTCACGAGGAGCAAGAAGGACATAGCAAAGACACCCAAAAAGGCGAAGACTGGAGTAATCTGGTGGCTTGCCACAGAGGCGCTCATATGGGATTCCGCCTTGAAGAGCAGATGAAGGCTGAATGTTAGTTAAAAAAGTGGCAGTGGATATCGCATCAGCCCAAAAATGAGGTGGAACAGAGGAAGCAATCATAAGAGCACGAGCAGTTTCAAGAAGGTGGCGATGTTTACGCTCAGCAACACCATTCTGAGCGTGCGCACCAGGACAAGAAAACTGAGAAAGAGTGCCCTGTTCAGAAAGAAATTGGCGAAGAGCGCCCGAGAGATACTCCCCAGCAGAGTCAGCACGAAAAACACGAATAGGAGTGTCAAATTGAGTACGAATCATCTGAGCAAATATCTTATATATGGATAACACCTCATTACGATGTTTCATGAAATACACCCATGTGAAGCGAGAGAAATCATCTATAAATATGACATAATATTGATGACCCCCTTTTGAAACGAAGGGTGCAGGACCCCATACATCGGAATGAACAAGGTCAAAGGGACGCTGTGACACTGATCCACTAGAGGGATATGGAAGTTGGAGCTGTTTGCCAAGCTTACAACCCTGACACTGATCTAAAGAAACATTACTAGAAACATTCCCCAAAAGACCACGACGGACAAGAGTGGATAACCGGGAACCACATAAATGTCCCAATCGATGATGCCACTGAGCAAAAGATGAAGAAGCCGATGCAGGAGAAGCAGAGCCCACAAGACTGGCAGAGGCAGCGGAAGGAAGACGAAGCCAGTCAAGTTCCCAAAGACGCTGAGAATCACGGCGGCGAGGGCCAGTACCAACCAGGAGACCCGTGCTGAGATCCTGGACACGACAAGAGTCAGAATCAAAAATAACACGACAACCATGATCAGTGAGCTGGCCAGCAGAAATAAGTTGCATGGTCAAATTAGGGACATATGAAACAGTAGGAACATGAAAAGAGGAGGACAAAAGAGTGCCATGTCCAAGAACAGGGAGAGTTGAACCGTCGGCGGTCTGAACAGTGATAGGAGTAGAAGAAGGACGAATGGAAGAAAGACTGGTACAATCAGAGGTCATGTGAAAAGAAGCACCAGAATCAAGAATCCATGGCAAAGTACCTAAAGTGAACGGTGGTTCCCCAGTGGAAGATTGTGAGGCAGCAGCAGAAACCAAAGGTGCAGAGACTGGGGTGACAGAACTAGCAACTCCAGCAGGCACAGAGGGAGCTAGCCGACGAAGCAACATAAGTATCTCCTGTGTCTCAGAACCAGCCAAGCTACTCGAAGAGGGTCCAGCAGTAGAACGATCAGAACCCTGTGAGGAACGACCACCTCGGCGTGAATGAGCCTTCTCCTTCTTCTTCTTCTTATAACAATAATCTTCAACATGTCCATCTTTTTCACAGTAGTTGCAATGAAGTCCACCAGTACTACCACTCCCATAGGACACCGCTGACGAAGGTGTTGTAGGGAGGGGTGTAGGACGTCCGTAAAGGTGCAGAGTAACAGCCAACAGCCCGACACAAGGCAAAATGATCGGCAGCAAGCTAGCGAATCGAAGACGGATCTCTTCATTCCGAACAGCAGCAAGAGAGCATCCATCGTGGGACACACGGGGTTCACGAGCTAGTAATCAAGGCACGAAGAGGCTCGAATTCAGCACGAAGACGAGTCGAAAAAATCGTGAGATGCGCTGAAGCTCAAGGTGGCTCTGTTGCTTCTGCAGGACTCACAAGTGGCGGGGGACACCGAGGACTCGGTGTGTCAAGCTCACGCCACACACTAGAGAGTCAAGTTAAAGAACTCCTCAATTGTAGCATCACCTGTTGCAACAACTGCTCTTGGCGTAAAGCCGCAAGGTATGTGGACTGACCGGAGGGCTCATAACGCTGGTGAAGAAAAGCCCACATCCGAGAAGCATAGTCAAGCTCTACAATATTGGCGGGTCAAATGTTCCTCCATGCTAGCAGTTAGAACAAAGACTGCACGAGCATCCTCATCCAACCAAGTCCGATATGTCGCAAACCGAGACATGTATGAGGCCATATCATCATTATATTCATCATGCAATTTCTTCTTATCATCGTCTGAAGTTGCAGGAGGAAAGACTGGCTGCACAGGAGGAGTGGGTAAAGGTGGACACGGCAGTTCACCAGTGAGAAAATCCCAAAGCCGTAGACCACGCATATGCCAACGCATGCGAGAAACCCAAACACGATAATTAGTGCCATTGAAGATTACTGGACATCGTGGAATTTGACCCCCATAAGACTGAGAAAGCAGACCAGCCACCGGTTGAGGATCTGAACTTGAAGCCATCCTAGTTCAGAGTGCAAAGAGAACCAGGGGGGGGGACGGAGCTCTCCTCTGCTCCAAGAGAAAAAAAAACAGAGCAGAGCAGCTCCTCTGAGAGCAGAGCAGAGGGCAGAGCAGGGGCGGCGAGCAGAGTGGAGGTCCAGGCCGCGCCTGGGGCGGCGAGCAGAGCAGAGGGCCGCGAGCAGGGGCGGCGAGCAGAGTGGAGGGCCAGGCGGCGAGCAGAGTGGAGGGCCGCGCCTGGCGAAGCAGAGCAGGGGCGGCTTCAACGGCGAGCAGAGCAGAGGGCCGCGCCTGGCGAAGCAGAGCAGGGGCGGCTTCAACCAGAGGGCCGCGCCCCGGCGTGGGGAGGGGCAGCAGGCGGCAGACAGGGGAGGTGCGGCGTCCACCGGAGGCCGCGGCCAGCCGGCAGCAGGCCGGAGCGGGCACACACGCACGCGCGGCCGCCCGACGGCTGCGGCTGGGCAGTGGTCGCGACGGCGTGCGGATGACGCGCGGACGAGCGCGCGAACGAGCGCGGTGGCGCACGGGAGGAGCAAAGCAGGGGCACTCGCCGGCGGCAACGATGCCGGTGACGCCTGCAACGGCAGCGAGGTAAACCTAGACACCGGCTCTGGATACCATGTTAGGAGTGAATGAACTCAATGCATTACGGTGGGCTTCAGCCCAAACATGTACATGGGCAAATATGCATAGAAGCCCTTACACAAAGAGGAAATAGCAAAGACACCTATACATCTATATCTAACATTCTTCAACCATAACCATCTCATTCTTGAAGCCCCAGCCAAGTAATTCCAAATCAAGAATTCCCAGACCTCCTAAATCAATTGGCCTCTTGACCTGGCCCCATGCAACAAGGCAATGACCTCCACTAACCTCCCTGCAGCCTTTCCAAAGGAAGGCTCTTCGAATCTTGTCTATTGCTTTAATTACCCATTTAGGAAAATTCAAGGCGAGGAGAGGTTCTTATTTTGTGAAGTTGCTTTTCATTGCAAATTATCTGTGTTTTGTGCATGCTTTATGTTTTTTGAGTTTTCATTTAACACTATTTGTAGCTTGTGATACTGAAAATTCGTCCTTCGTATTTTAAGGTATGCAAAATTCAACGAAGCAATGACTCACTGCACCATTGGCACAGAATTGATGCCTGTTGGTGACGAATCTATCTCAATTGGTTTCGAAAAAACTTTTGCCTTCACAGGTCAAATGGGCCCAGTCTATGTGTTTTCTGATGCACTTTCTTCAGAGCAAGTAAAGGGCATATATTTTCTGGGACCAAGTTACATGTACTCTTTCCATGGTGATGATTGCTACAGGGGAATTCTTGATGCTAGAGACGGCCTTTCATCAAAGATAATTTTTGGTTTCAATGCACAGGTTCAAATTCTTTCCACTGACTTACATGATATATAACTTATTTCATAAATTCTAACACTCTGGGTCAAATAGTTGTGGTCCATCTCTGTAATTCTAGTGATGGGGCTTGTTCTACTCATGAGTTTTTAAGTGGGTTTACGCATCAAGAGCCAATATCTTCAGATTTACTAATAATTTTTTTTTCTATTTTCCCCTTGTCCCTAGGCTAGTGAAGGTCGGAGTTTGTTCAGTGTGTCATCAGCACTCAATAGTGCTGACAGAAATACATTTGAAGCAACAATTATGAGGGGGACAAAGTTATGCTCACGACACTTGCCTCAGGATATTATTTACTGCGTTGGTGGTGTCTCTGTATTTTTCCCACTCTTCACTCAATTTTTTGATGCTGCAAGTGATATTGAGAAATGTTGCCATACATCTGTTATCAATGATAAATTAGCGGCTGAGGTCATTGAGCTAGTCGCAACTGTTCTGGATGGAAATGTATCAAATCAACAACAGATGTATCTACTTTCTGGGTTATCTATTCTAGGCTTCTTGCTTCAATCAGCTACCCCACAGCTGTTAACAACCAAAACTCTTTCCGCACTGAAGTATATGTTTGACATTCTGAGGAAGTGTGGTAATCTCTCTTCCCCTCTCCCTCTGTATTCGCATTCATACAATAAGATGTACATTACTTATACTTTTTTCTGCATATTCAGGCATGTCAAAAGTTCTCCTCAAAGATGCTATCTCACAAATTTATTTGAATCCTCAAATATGGGTATATGCAAGCTATGAAGTACAAAGAGATCTCTATTTGTTTGTGATAAAATATTTTGAAACAGATGGAAGGCTTTTACCGCTTCTATGTGGACTTCCTTGGGTTATTGATATTGTGTGCCGATATTACTGGGAAAAGGCAGATTCTAGGCATGTTGTTGCTTCCAAGCCTTTGCTTGATCCAGTTACCAAACGAGTTATTGGAGAGAGACCTAAGGTAGTTGAAATTCGCAAGCTTCGTCTTCTCCTCCTGAGTTTAGCAGAAATGAGCTTAAAGTAAGCACTTCCACCTCCTACCAAGCCTTTTCCATTCCATAGGTAGTAATCTTTTGTTTGATCCCATCTATATAGAGTTTGGATATCTTTTAGTATCGTTTTTGCCACACGTCACATTACATTTTTCATATGTTTTCATAGCATTCTGTAGGCATCTTCTATTCTTAATATGACATGTTGGTTCACAGGCTAAAAGTTTCTCCAGATGACATAAGAGCGCTTGTTGCTTTTTTTGAGAGGAGTCAAGACATAGCATGTATCAGCGATGTACTGGACATGATCATCCGTGCTCTTTCACAGGGTGCAGTTTTTTCATCATTTGTTGAGAATGTAAATTACCTTGGTGGTTGTTGCATTTTCATTAATCTTCTTAAAAGGTAATATATTCTTAATTTTCTCAACCTAGAGCTAATTTCTACGAGTGCTACAGCTGCTTGGAACTAAGTTGCTTGATAATGTAAATTATGAGCTGCTTGACAATCTGCAAGACAAGTAGGCAACACATTAATTTCAAGTTGTTATTCTTTTTGACTAAAGTATATAATGAGTGTACTAGTGTTCATCCTAACCTCTAAGGCAAAGGGAAAATCCTGAAGTTGTAATGAACTTAGATCATTGGTTGAATAGGCTGGTCTCCTTCGGTAGGTGCTGGACACCTGACCGACTTGCATGCCGAGGACTTAAATTCATGCCTGCCTCTTCTTAGACCAAGCCGTGAAGTCTATCGACCACCTTCTCATATCCTGTGTGTTTGTGCGACAGTTTTGGTTTATCTTCTTGTGGAATGTCAGGATTCAATTCCGCTATTCACAGCCAGGTGAAAAATCTTCTGATGACTGGTGGGTTAGAGTTGAAGGTTTGGTGGATAGTCAAGTTTGAAAAGGCCTCAATTTTGTTACCATTTTGGGTGCTTGGTTGATTTGGAAACACCGCAATAGGTGTGTGTTTGATGGTCCTGTTCCTAACATAGCTGCAGTCATGATGCTCACTTTTGAGGAACTACATCTCTGGGGTTTAGCCAGGGCTCGAGCAATTTCTAATCTTCTTGCCCTTGCAGCCGAAGGTTGTTACTTTGTGGTCTAGTCTTAGCTCTAGGTCGTTTTATTTTTTAGTCAAGGTGCTACTGTTTTTCCTTTTCTCTTGGTTGTGTGTGGGTCTGTTCTTGTAAGGGTTCTTATTCCCTTGTTAATATCATGGTATACAGCTCTCCTGCGTGTTCGAGGAAAAAAAATAGGAGATAGATCTTTGGAAAGAAGGGGAGGAAGAAGATTGGGAGAAGATTTAATTCATTATATACTTAATGAAACCACTGAATCCTGATCCCATATATTATATGTGCTATGTATTGTAAGAGAGATTCATCTGTTTGTTTCTTGTAAATTGTTCTTCAAGGGCCTTCTGTTTGCCTTTATTTTTTATGTGAATTGTGCCTCTAGATTTTGCATATTGTTGTCAGTAAAAAAAATGACTTGAAAATGCATAATTTCTCCATGCATAATATATATTTAACGTACGCAGTTACTTTTTGGTAAATATCTGACACTAGTTTTTTCTTCAGGGAATTTGAGCCAGTCCGTTTGTTGGGGCTTCAGCTCCTTGGAAAACTTTTGACTGGGATTCCTTCTGAGAAGGAAGGAACGAAACTATTTACCCTACCCTTAAGGAAGTCTAGACCCATGTCTGTAAACTTAACAAAAGAAATAACAGCTGCACCTCAGTTGTTCTTGAATACAATGTCTGAAAGGCTATTCAAATTTTCACTATCAGATAACTTATGTGCCGCACTTTTCAGTGTTCTTAGTGGAACCAGTGCACAACAGGTTATTTTACTAACTTTATGTCATATTGTTTTTTCTCTCTTTTTTTTCTGTTTCACCAGTATTAACCGTATATGTGATCTGCTGTTTTCTCTGTATAGGTTCCCCAGGAAAATTCTCAATCTGATCCATCAAGGGATAGAAATTGCAACCTTTTAAGCTTGCCACCCTTTTCCCTTCCTCATATTTTGATCTGCATCTTTAGATTTATGCATTCTTGTAAAGATTCCTCAGAACGCACAAGAATCTTAAATCTTCTTCTTGGTTTGCTGGATTCAAACTCTTCAAACATTGAGGCATTAATGGTACGTATTATTTTATTGGGTCTATACTTGTTACTTATGTGTGTTCTGTGTTGATCCTGGAATTTTTATCAGGAGCACAGTTGGAACTCTTGGCTTGAAACATCCACAAAGCTTGATGTATTCAAGGACTACAAATCAGTTTCTAAAGGCGAGCCTGACGATGTGAAGACAGATGAACTAAGTCTTGTGAGGAACTTGTATTCTTTGGTCCTTTCATACTACCTGCGCTTCGTTAGAGGTGGCTGGCATCAACTTGACAATACTGCTAATTTTTTCCTCTTAAAAATTGACCAGGTTGGATCCTGTTTCATCCCTTTTTTTCTTTATGTGATAAGCTTGGTGGTGTATGTTGTTTTGCACTAATGATGATATTGTGATTCATTAACATGCAGGGACAGCTATCAAGTTCTGATTTGCTGAGGGACATACTTGATGATATTGCTGGGAGCCTGCTTCAGAAATCTGTGGAAGATAATATTTTCCTTTTACAGCCTTGCTGTGATAACGTTTTACATTTTTTGAACCTTATACAGGAGCTGCTTGTGAGTCAAATGGGAATTGGGCTATTGGTATGCTTCTAAACATACTTGTATTGATTGAACAGAAAAATACATGTTAATACATACATGAGCTATATCTTCTTTTTCTCTCTCGAAAGGACCATACATAAGCAATATCTGTTCCTTTCTTCTGCAGTTTCTATCTCCCAGTATTTCGGAGGAATCTTCACATGATAACATATGGAAAGAAGATATTAAGTCAACAGTAAATGATATTTTAAATACCGAGAGCAATGGTCACTGTACAAGGTACTAGTTCAAATCTGCATTCCCCATTTCTAAATATGTGTCCAAACATTTTGTAATAGCTACATTTGAAATGGATCCTAAGGGTCATTAGTGCTGGAGCTGATGCATGTGCTTTCTCTGGTCAAAACACCACTGCACAACTAACTATGTAGTCTACTAGTTTTTACAAATCTTTTGCCAGATAATAGTAGTGGCTGCAGTGTTTTATGGTACAAAGCTTCAGGTCACCGCCTTGTTCATTTGGATAGCAGTACAAATGATACATGGGTACTAGGTACCCTTTCAGTTGTCTTTCTGATCACAATCCATGAAAGGTGGTGCCAACTGATTTCAGATGAGACCTTCCAACAACAATCATGGCCATTAGTCACAACTCGCAACATGAAACACTAGGGCTTGTTTGGATGCCCATGTATCGACCTCAATCCATGTGGGTTGGAGTGGTTTGGTTAAATTCCACACCAAACCACTCCAACACCCATGTATTGAGGTGGATACATGGGCATCCAAACAAGGCCCGATTGATGCATCTCAAAGATAGGGTTTCAACAGCGCTGTCATTCTAGGAGGTTGGACCTTATGGAGACAAAGAAACATGTGCGTCTTTGAGGGAGCTCTTCCATCAGTCCAAAATGCAAGGTGCCTCTTCTTGAAGGATCTGAAACTTTGGGAATTTGCTGGAGCCCGTAAACTCCAGGACCTAGGCCTATGTCAGGTTGAGGGGTTAGTTTAAGTAGCCTTTCTCTGGTTGTGTCCTTTTTATTTATTGGTGATTGTATTTTTTTTTTTTCTAAACCTCAGCTGCAGTCCCTTTGTTCTCCTAAAGTGAGATGAAGTGGGTTTTCGTTTTCTCTCTCTCTAAATTAATACAAAGATATGCAGCTCTCCTTCTTGTTCAAGAAAAAAAGGAACACTAGGGTGGCAAATGAATGATTGTGTCCTTGCATTCACTAGCCTAGGTACTATATCATTTGTTCATTGTTGCCCTTGTAAGATGTACATTTTTTTTTCCTCATAACGGAGTGCTCCCTCTGATTCCAAATGCTGGTCGTTTTATACTTGTGCATAAGGATTAAGGAAGTAGAGCAAATGATCTTAGTGCCCTTCAACTAAAACGTACTGCATTAACTTAAACACATATGGTATTGGTAGTTGAACATTCAACATTGATACTCAAAATGAAGCTAACAATTTAACCAGTGTGTTAAAGTTCAGTGAGTGCAAATTTGTTTTCCAGGATCTAAGGTGACCTAATATTGTCATATGAACATACAAATTTTGTGAAGTTTTGTGAAGTTTGTACCCTTCCATTTGAATTTAGTTTTGTGAAGTTTGCAAACTAGAAGTAGTTGGGCACTGGCATTGTCGTTAATTTCTGTGTTAATTCCCAGTTTGCTTTGGACTGCTTGCAGATTTTCTGATGTAAATAAAATCAGTGATGATTGGTGGAACTTCTTTGACAAGGTGTGGAGTATTATACGTAATTTGAATGGAAAAGGACCAAGCAAAATTGTACCAAAGGATCCAAATGTTGAGGTTGCATCTTTGGGGCAAAGGGCACGTGGACTGGTGGAGTCTATGAATGTCCCTGCTGCAGAAATGGCTGCTGTTGTATCTGGTGGTGGAGGTATTGGTACTGCATTAGGTATAAAATGAACAGATTTGCTGAGAAAACTACAACGTCAAGGGAAGAGATAATTCCAAGAATTTTCTTCCACCTTGTGATTCTGTACCTCTGCAAAGCTGGATTAGAGAATGCATCCAAGTGTGTTCTACAGTTCATGTCGTTGCTTCCGATTCTTCTTATTTCAGATGATGACCAAAGCAAAAATAAGTTGCACTTTTTGATATGGTATGTTTGATACTCTGAGCTTCCCTCTGAATGTGTATGAAACATTCTCCTTATACTTTCTTTTATACAGGTCTTTATTAACTGTAAGATCTCAGTATGGGCAGCTTGACGATGGCGCTCGTTTCCATGTTTTTTCGCACTTGATTCTTGAAACTATCATATATGGAAAGTCCATGTTGGTCACTAATATCTTAGGAAGAGATGACTCCGTGGACACCAACAACAACAAGGAGACTGGCTTCATCCTTAGCTTTATACAGAAGGATCGTGTTCTTGCCGCGGTTTGTTTCTTTGCCCTTTTTTTATCTTTGTCTGGAATTGTTTTGTTGGCATGTACAAAATGAGAAGTTCATCACTTTAGGAGGGTGTGTTTCAAGTTTTGTGCATTTGATCAATTCTGCTGCTTGTTCAATCCCGCACCCACTCCAACCGATGATCAGCTTTATTGGTTTACAGGCTGCTAATGAGGTTAAGCACATGAAGGCTGTTCAGGCTGATCGCTTAAAGCAGCTGCAGGAACTTCGCTTGAAGCTTAACGAGTGTTCTGCAACGGAGATACAGCTAGTGCAGGCCATTGAAGATGAGATACATTTTACTATCACTGCTGCCCTTTCAGCAGATGACAGTAGAAAAACAGCTTCTCAACTTTCTTTTCGTGAGGATCAGCAAATTATCAGGGTAACTGAGTCTTTCTTATATTCAACCAACGCATATGCTTGTTAAGGAGAAAATTTGTCATGCAGTAACTATTTGCTTTCTGTATCAGGATAAGTGGATACATATTTCCCGTGCTCTGATGGATGAGAGAGGACCATGGTCTGCTAACCCTTTTCCAAATGATGTTGTGACTCACTGGAAACTTGACAAGACAGAGGATAGATGGCGGCGGCGGTTCAAGCTCAAACGTAATTACAAATTTGATGAACGCTTATGTCAACCTTCACAGTCAAGGAATGAAATTACAACGTCGTCAGCTGACCAACCGTACATCAGTGCCAAAATTCCTGAGAAAATGAAGCGATTCCTTCTTAAAGGAGTGCGGGGAATCACAGAGGACAGTAGTTATGAACCATTTGAAGACACTAACGATGCGAGTGAATCTTCCCAGAGTAATCCTTTAGAGAGCCAAAACCTGAATAATGCTGCAGATACCTCTGATTATCATGCTGCTGTACATTATAAAAAAGAGCCATCATCTACTAATGGAGATAATGATTATACAAAGGTAAAGAAAAAGTTTTAGTATAAATTTCAGCTGAAAGCAGAAAACAATTGTTGATTTCTTTCTGTTCATTGCCCATTTTGCAGGTGCTATGTTCAGTTCGTTGTGTTCTTGTAAACCCAAAGCGAAAATTAGCAGGACAATTGGATATCACACGAACTGTCATGCATTTTTCTTTTGAATTTTTGGTCGAAGGAACTGGAGGATCATCTGTTTTCAGCAAGTTTAAAGACAAAAAAGATTCAGACTGCAAGAACGAGCTGGGAGGTGTGGACAGACTTGATGGATGCCGAGACAGTATGATTAAAACCAATGGTGTTTTGATGCAAAACCAGTCTAACAAGATCAAACGTCACAGAAGGTGGAACATAACCAAGGTATCTCTCTCTCCTAGACTCCTAGTCTTTCCTCTCACTTGCTCACTCTCTTAATCTCCTTGCATACATGCTTACAGATAAAAGGAGTTCATTGGACACGCTACCTACTGCAATATACTGCAATGGAGATCTTCTTTGATGATTCAAGTGCACCTATATTTTTAAACTTTTCCTCCCAAAAGGATACTAAAAATGCTGGGTCTCTGTTAGTTTCTCTTAGGAATGAAGCTTTGTTCCCTAAAGGAAGTACCAAAGACAAAAATAATATCATTTCATTCGTCGACAGGCGAGTTGCACTTGAAATGGCTGAGAATGCCAGGGAAAGATGGAAAAGGAGGGAAATCAGTAACTTTGAGTATCTTGTGATTTTAAACACCCTTGCTGGAAGATCGTACAATGACTTAACTCAGTATCCTATATTTCCATGGGTATTGGCTGATTACACCTCAGAAAAGCTTGATTTCAACAAGTCATCGACTTTTAGGGATCTTTCAAAACCAGTTGGTGCGTTGGATGAAAACCGCTTCAAGGTGAGGTTACTATTGCATACTTATTTGTATTTGTAGGCTATCATCACCTTATCATAACTTCATGTCAGTAATGCATTATTGGGCAGGTTTTTGAAGATAGATATCTTAGTTTCTGTGACCCTGATATACCAAGGTTGAACCTTAATTCATCTGTTAGTGTTTTCCCTTTTTTGAGTTTACTCTTTTTGCAATAACGACGATGGTTGTTTCCTGCAGTTTTTATTACGGATCTCACTACTCTAGCATGGGAATCGTTCTTCATTACATGCTTAGGCTCGAGCCATTTACAGCTCTGCATCTAAACTTTCAGGTTGTCACTTTGCTCATCATGGAAATATTTATCATGCTTAAAATTCGAACACATACCTCTTATTTTCAAAACATTATTCACAAATTTGTGAATCGATAATTTCTTTTGTCGTATTTCACCACAGTTTGAAAGAAGCAATCTTGTCATATTGTTTTACATTATGCCATAATTTCTCCTGTCGTATTTCACCACAGTTCAAAAGAAGCGATCTTGTCATATTGTTTACATTTATGCCTGTCTGACACTTGTGCAGGGTGGCAAGTTGGACCATGCAGACCGTTTGTTCCAGAGCATTGAGAGCGCTTACATAAATAGCTTATCAAGTACAAGTGATGTCAAAGAGCTTATTCCAGAATTCTTTTACATGCCCGAGTTTCTTGAAAATTCAAATTCATATCATCTTGGTGTTAAGCAGGATGGGGAACCTATAGGCGATGTTGCTCTCCCTCCATGGGCAAAGGTAATAGTTCCTCTTGAAGTTAGTTATATTTGTCATAATTCCTTGAGGATGAATTATTTGTCCACCAAGATAGTTCTGTTGCTTTTCTAATGACAGTTAGTTCAGCTTTGCAACTGTTAGTAAAAAACTGTACTGTTCTCAATACACAGGATATATCTAGCTTTCTCAATATAAAATAGATTTTCTCATGAAAGACATCCCAGGCTAATTTACTTCACATAATGTTTTCTTTATATTCTGACTTTGACCATCTTCAGTTCGCAAATTCAACCCTAATAAGTTTAGCATTGCAAAGAACAACTTCTGTATACTGTTATGTTAGCCCAGCTTCATAGCATTCATTGTCAATTTTGAAGGTGATGACATTATGTTTCCTGCATTTTGGAAAAAAAAATGTGAATGTTACAACATATCGCATTGCTTCATCATTCTACGAAATTCTTTTACATGCCCGAGTTTCGCATACATGTTACATTTCAGTATCCCATCTAATATTTTACTTGTGTTATATGATTATTAACCCATACAAAATTGTAGGGTTCGCCTGAAGAATTCATCCACATCAACAGAGAAGCCCTTGAAAGTGAATATGTGAGCTCTAATCTCCATAACTGGATTGACCTCATATTTGGTTACAAGCAGCGTGGACAGCCAGCTGTTGAGGTGCAACTGTGTTGCTATTTCCAGCATCATTGAAACACTGTTAGTAGAATATTACCTAACTCATGCATATATTTTGGATAGGCAGCAAACATATTTTACTACGTGACATATGAAGGTGCAGTTGATCTGGAAAATATGGATGACATGTTACATAAATCTGCTATTGAGGATCAGATAGCGAATTTTGGACAGACACCAATCCAGATTTTCCGGATGAAACATCCAAGAAGAGGACCTCCCATCCCAATTGCTCATCCACTGTATTTTGCACCACAGTCGATAACATTAACTTCAAGTGTTTGTAGTACAGTCAGCCACATGTGTGCTATCCTATTCATTGGTTTGTTGGAGAACACTGTTGTATTGATGAATGAGGGACTCATATTGTCAGTAAAGCTGTGGTTAACAACACAGCTGCAGTCAGGTGGAAATTTCACATATTCTGGACCACAGGTTCTTCTTGACTAAAGGCTAAATGTTAAAGACATTGGTATCCCAGTAAATTTGTGTTTATTACATTTGCTCTTTTTTTGTAGGAACATTTATTTGAAATTGGTTCAGATGTTATCTCTCCTCGTAAAATTGGCACTTTCCTTGCCGAAAACGTTAAGTTTGGAAGACAATGCTTAGCAACAATGCAAAATAGTTGTGATAATTATTTGATTTTATGTGGAAATTGGGAGAACAGTTTCCAAATAATTTCTCTTAGTGATGGAAGAATTACGCAGAGCATCAGGCAACATAAGGATGTTGTTAGCTGTGTTGCAGGTATTTAAGACATTTAATGAGTTTATGCTTATCCATTTTCTTTAAACTTTCCTGAATTAAGCTACTAGATTTTGGCTGTAAGCAAAAATAACTGTATTAAAATAAAGAGATTCCAATAAAGATACAGATCCCTTTTTCCGGCTTAAGCCCCTTGAAAAGGACAGTAGGGAGTTGATGTCTCCTTATTGTGGTTTTGGCATGTAGTAACATAAGAGAACTTCTAATACTGAATATAGTCTGTTGGCCACTGCATATAACATGATGCAGCCAGACCATTTGTATGTTTTCAGTTCGGTGATGTCGTGATGATATCTAATTAGATATTTTCTGAGTAAGGCAGCTCAGCTAGGCTGCCTTTTTTCTGTCTTTATTATGTTTCCTGCATTTTGAAAAAAAAACTGTGAATGGCACCATATCACATTGCTTCATCATTCTATGAAATTATCTGCTGTATTTTCCTTTTTTTGTCGATATAAATAAGGCAAAACAAACTTTTATGCTGCAGTTTCGTCTGACGGAAACGTGGTTGCAACTGGTAGTTATGACACAACTGTTATGATCTGGCATGCATTTCGAGGAAGACCAATTGATAAGAAAATGAGGGGTGCCAATTTTGAACTTTCAGAAAAGGAACATGTTATAGTGGAAAGGCCTGTTCATATCTTATGTGGTCATGATGACATCATAACATGCTTATTTGTTAGCACTGAACTTGACATTGTAATCAGTGGTTCAAAAGATGGGACTTGTATTTTTCATACACTGCGTGAAGGGAGATATGTTCGGTCCATCCAGCATCCTTCTGGTGTTGGTTTATCAAAACTGGTAGCATCACAGCATGGGAGGGTGGTATTATATTCTGAGAATGACCTCTCCTTGCATATGTACTCCATCAATGGACGACATATTGCTTCTTCAGCAACCCTTGGACGTCTCAATTGCATAGAACTTAGTTGTTGTGGTGATTTCATTGTTTGTGCTGGTGAGCTTGGACAGATAGTCTTACGCTCAATGCATTCTCTTGGTATTGTTTGGAGGTATGATGGAACTGGGAAGACAATTACTTCCCTAGCTGTGACTCCTGAGGAGTGCATCCTAGCAGGAACCAAGAATGGTAGACTGCTGGTATTTTCAATAGAAACTCCTCTCCTTCGCAGGGGGAGCATGCAACGAAATAGAATAAAGCCCTCCACAACTGGTTAAGTCATTGGCTGCAACATATCCACCGAATGTAAAAAATGACCGCTTCATGCTGTAGGCATAAGGTGTGTCAAGTTTTAAACTTAGCTGCTTTTCTTATTGTTTTGAACAGCAGGGCCTTTTTTGATGCTATAAATTCTGTACACCATAATTATGTTTTTTTTATTTACCTTATGTTTTAGTGTCCTGTAGAACTAGTCCTTTAGAACTAGTCCTGTGGTCATCTCATGCACCTGCATGATGAACTGCATGCACTCACTGTTAATTGTTTATAATGTAGACCAAGGCAAATATTTAGATATCTTTGCCTGTTTTATCAGGAACTATTAAGATTGTAGTAACCAAATGTTGCCTCCTTTGTCTGTCCTATGATTTCTACAAGAATGTTTTTTAATCCTGTAGGATGTCCCCCCACTAGATTGAGAAAGCCAGATGGTCTTACAGAGTAGAGGCGGGAAAGGGACACATTATGATTTGGGACGTGAACTTACAAGTTAAGCATGAGCATGCCGAATTATATGAGCTAGCTATACTCTTATGCGAAACATTGAACAAGAAAAGCAACTAGAAAGCATTTAGTTAGAGTTAGTGATGTTTTAATATTTACGTAGTGTACTAGATCTATGTTATGTTTGGTAATTCAGAAAGGTATTTGACCTATCAGATCCAAAAATGTCATGTCAGGTTTGGTTCTAGACTCTGTAAAACATTTTTTCGTCCTGGTCACTAGTAATCTGCCAAGTTCATTTTTATTGACTTGGATAATTTAGCTCAAGCAAACTGCTGTTACCTTTTCTGTTGTTTGCTGAAAGTACTAAGTGCTTAATTTCCTTGAAACTCTGTGCAGGTCATTACCAGCTTATAGAACTGTTCTCACGACCATGTAGTCTGCACATAATGAAGCACGCTTTTGTCATTTGTGAACACTACCTAAATTAAAGATGGCATTCAGGAATGAGGATTGTCAAGATATTGAGCTGGTGATGGTCCTTGAGCACTCAATCTGACAATATATCGAACTAATGCCGGGAACACTGGTTAGCCCTAGGTCCATAGTTGATTTAAGGCTAAGGGTAGACGCAAAGAATCTTCACTTCTTAGCCTTCACTTGGGTGGCACTGACATCTATCACAATTTTATTGTAGCATTTCACTTCGTTGGTGGAGGGGTTAGGTTCCGTGCGACAGTTTGTCTGTGTAGTATATATATGTATTATATTACTCTGTTCCTACTCTGCCTTCTGCTATGCTTCAGCAGGAGAGAGCACCCATCGTATTCGCTTGCAGATGGAAAACAGGCGTCGCCTGACGCCTGGTGCCAGATTTTGGCACGAACCAGCTAGTTCCGATTCTGTTCCGGAGCGCATGGCCACCATCCATTTCCATGCCTCTTTGGGCAGGGATAAAAGTAACGAGCCTTTTACATGTGCCATTATAAAAGATGGTACGTGCTACTAAAAAGTTCGAACGCACCTATGTGTCATGGCACTTTATTTTTTTTTTGTCTCCTAAGTCATTCCGTCCACTTTTTCATCTAATGGTGTCAATATGCGCTGCAAAAAGTCTCAAATGCCCTTACCTCGCTTCTTCACCGTGCGCTTCTTTGTACCTTCGCTGGGCGTCTTCCTCCCGTCCTCCACCATGCGCCGGGGGCAAGGGCGGAGCCAGCCGCACGGGGCATGGGGCGGGTGGAGCCGCCGCCGGCCCGGGGCCGCCATGGCTGCCGCTTTTCAAAGACGACGCCAATAAACTCACCGTCGTCGCCCTCGCCCGGCACCACCGCCACCAAGCCTCCGCCACCGTCGGCGTGTCACGCCCAGTGGCTGCGCGCGCCATGGTGCTAGGCGCGAGCGACGTCTCAGTCTCCACGGCGGCGCTCATGCCGGCGTATGCCACGCGTCCGGCGACGCCGACGCCAACGACCGCGCTGGCGGCGGTGGCGCCTCTCTCGTGGGGCTCGTCGTGGGGCTGCAGCATGGCCATCGGCGCAGTACGTGTCTGTCTGCACGCGCAGTGGACATCGAGCTGGCCGAGCTCAAGTCGCGCGCCAGTAGGGAGGACGAGGAGTCGGCAGCGGGTGACGGAGACGGAGATGACGGAGCACCACCGACCGGGCCGCAACTGTGGGCCTCCTCGAGCCCGCCAGCGACGGCGGCGGCCTCCACGCCGTCATTAGCGACCGAAGGCGGCGTAAGCGCTGCTCGCGGCGTGGTTCGTCACGAGATATAGGGCGCGAGTGGCGGTGGTCGTGGCTCATGCGGCTCTCTGCTGCAGCTTACCACCGTCTTCCTCGTGCGGCTGCCGGAGCTCGCTTTCGAGCATGGCCAGGTGGGCGAACTCCCCGACGCACGTGGGCGAAGCTCCGATCCTCGGTCTCCGCCGACCCTCCTCCGCCCGCCTTGGCTGGATCTCGAGGTCTCGCCACGCCGGCGCCACCATCCACCCCGCGACGACGCCTCCCGGCCCGGATGCTGCGCGGCGGCCTGTTCCCACGGCACACAGCCTGCTTGCGTCGTGCGGCGCGCCCTAGCCCCACGCCTCTCTGTTTAGCTACCACCGCCGCCAGCCTGTCCTCCACCTCATGACGACGCCTCCACTCCAGGATGATCATGGCGGTGGCTGCTTCCACATTCCATGTTTTCCCCAGGCGCATGGATCGCTCTCCGTGGCAGTCTCTCTGCCACCCACCACCACCGCCGTGTGGGCGAGATCCCCTGACCACCCCCGGCCCCCTCGTGCTCTTCTTGAGGCAGAAGAAGGTGTCGTGTCACCATGATTTAGCCCCACGAGAGAGAGATAGAAAAAGGGAGAGGACAGAGTTACGAAAGAAGGGTATTTTAGACATCATCATAGGTCGGGCCCACATGTCGTACGACAAACGGTAGAAATCAAACAGTATATGACGGAATGGTTTGAGAGGCAAAAAAAAAGTAGTGTCATGGCACATAGGTGTGTTTGAATTTTTTAGTGGCCTATAGGTCTGGAGCATCTTTCGTAATAACCACGGGTAAAAAGCTCAAAAGTAATATGCTTCGAACGGAACCCGCCTTATTTGGACAACTACGGAGTCGGGGCCCGGGGCGCCTGGCCACATGGGTTCGTGCACGTAGACTTTGTTAGGGCAGCTCCAATCAGTGGCGGATGCAGAACAGGATTGAAGGGGGGCTGGTCTCTTATTCTTCCTCTCTCTTCATTTTTCTTCTTTCCTTCATCTCTTCTTCTCCCTCACCCTCCTCATATTTCCATTGATGCACCAGTCGTAGGGGGCTGGAGCCCCAGCCCCCCTTAGATCCGCCCCCGGCTCCAATGTAGTGCTAATCTAGAACCGTGTGACGAGAGAAAAGGCCGTAGAAGTCGATAAGGCAGTAGAAGTCAATTTCACGATGGAGCAACCGAACCATGGCAAAAGATTTTACGGTTCGATGCTCAAACACGATTCGAACACAGAGGAAAAAAAAATACACTAGCAGCTGAGATGTGACCCATTGACAAGAGGGGAAGGGAGTTAAAGTTTAAGAGAGAAATTTACCTACCAATGTCCACGCCAGAAGAAACGAACCGTTCTCATAATGGTTTTTAGCAGGCCCACCAAGTCAGGTCTGGACTCTAGTGTGTCATGGAATCGAATGCAATCCTAGACTCTAGTGTGTCCCTCGCAAAAACAAAAACAAAAAGACTCTAGTGTGCCATGCAATCGAATCGTGGGAGTGAAAAAGTTTTAGACTCAAAATCACATGTTGCGACGTGTCGAACTATGGTGACTAAATTTAGCTACTGCACCATATGGATGTATCCAACCAGAAACGGTAGGCCCCATGCACGGAACACCACACAATGAGCACATCTTCTCACACCATAGTGAATTTGTAGTTCAAATATAGCAACATATTGTTGTCGAAGTGCAGAATCGCCGCCGCCTAGGGTAGAGCCCCCGCCGCATGCCTGCTCCTCGCTCCACAGTCGTGTCTAGAGCTCCTCTCCTCTCTTTTTTCTTTCCAGTGCGTCTGCCGGAGACAAGAAGGGGAGGGGATCTATCATTTTTCGTAAATTCCTAGTGTCTTATGGTTGAGTCCAAATAAATGACTGATGAAATCAGATGTTTTTTTGTTAGGATCGTGTGTCCTACGATGACTTCGGTGATTATCACGACGAGATCGTCGTTGCAGGCGTCGATTTCATCGGACAGGCGGCCAATTTGTGGGCTTTATCTGTAAGGGGAGGGGTGCTTCTAGACTTATGAGGACAGTGACTCCGGGTCATCGATCTCATCATCGATGATCGCGGAGAGAAAATTAAGATCTCGAGGTGATGAATTTGCATCCTATGTCATACCCGACGATACAACTGCCGATATTCTTTCATCGATTTAGATGCGTTTTGGACTGTTTTCGAAGCGTTAGGTCCAATGTTTTGATGTTGGTCGTTGAATTCGGCGTAAGGACTGCACTTTGGCTTCGACGTTCGAGGGAAGCCATTGAGGAAGAAGACGATGGAAAAATCTAGATAGAATATTATGTATTTTTTATTTCAATTTTTTTTCATGTGTAATTTGGAGATATATTGTGCCAAAATTTAATATAAGTTCCCCTTCCCTTTGAAAAAAAGAAGTGAAACCAACACTATCAGTACCGGTTCATTAAAAAAACCACAACACAGACTGAGAGCCACACCTCAACAACAACAACAACATAGCCTTTCAGTCCCAAGCAAGTTGGGGTAGCCTAGAATTAAAACCCACCAAGAGCCCCAAGTCATGGTTCAGGCACTTCAATAGCTACTTTTCCAAGCACTCCTATTGAAACATAGATTTCTAAATATATCTCAAACTTTTAAATCTCTTTTTATTGTCTCTTTCATGTCAATTTCGGCCGTTCTCTACCTCTCCTCATATTATTAGCTTAGCTTAGGACTCTACAATGCACTGGTGCCTCTAGAAGTCTCCTTTGGACATAACCAAACCACCTCAACCGATGTTGTACAAGTTTTTCTTCAATTGGTGCTACCCCTAGACGATCACGTATATCATAGTTCCGAACCCGATCCATTCTTGTGTGACCACAATTTCATCGTAACATACGTATTTCTGCAACACTCAGTTGTTGAACATATCGATCTTTGTAGGGCAACATTATGCTCCATACAACATAGCCGGTCTAATCGTTGTTCTATAAAACTTGCCTTTTAGCTTTTGTAGTACCCTCTTGTCACAGAGAATGCCAAAAGCTTGTCGTCACTTGATCCATCCTACTTTTATTCTATGGCTAACGTCCGTATCAATATCTCCATCCCTCTGTAGCATCGATCTCAAATACCAAAAGATATCCTTCTTAGGCACTACTTGACCTTCCAAACTCACATCTCCCTCCTCCTGTGCAGCTCCGCCAAAGTCGCATCTCATGTATTCGGTTTTAGTTCTGCTCAATCTAAAACATTTAGACTCAAGGGTCTGCCGCCATAACTCTAGTTTCCTATTTACTCGCGCCTGTCTTTCGTCCACTAACACTACATCATCAGCGAATAACATACACCAAGGGATATCTCCTTGTATGTTCCTGGTAACCTCATCCATTACCAAGCTAAAGAGATACGGGCTTAATGCTGACCCCTAATGAAGTCCAATTTTAATCAGAAAGTAATTTGTGTTACCATCGTTTGTTCGAACACTAGTCACAATATTGTTGTACATATCCTTGATGAGAGTCACGTATTTTGATGGGACGTTATGTTTGTTCAAAGCCCACCACGTAATATTTCTTGGTATCTTGTCATAAGCCTTCTTCAAGTTAATAAAAACCATATGGAAGTCCTTCTGCTCTCTAAACCGCTCCATAACTTGTCTTATTAAGAAGATTGCTTCTGTGGTTGATCTTTCGGGCATGAAACCAAATTGGTTTGTTGATATCTGCGTCGTTCCTCACAGGCGCTGCTCGATGACTCTCTCTCATAACTTCATAGTGTGGCTCATCAACTTAATTCTCCGATAATTAGTACAACTTTGGATATCTCCCTTGTTCTTATAGATTGATACCAATATGCTTCTTCTCCACTTCTAAGACATCTTGTTCGATCGAAAGATATTGTTGAATATTTTGGTTAGCCATACTATAACTATATCTCCGAGACATCTCCACAGCTTGATTGGGATACCATCAGGGCCCATCGCTTTGCTCCCTTTCGTCCTTTTCAAGGCTTCTCTGATCTCCGATTCTTGAATCCTCTGCACAAAGCGCCTGTTAGTGTCGTCAAACGAGTCGTCCAGCTGAACAGTGGTGTTATCGTTCTCACCGTTGAATAATTTATCAAAATACTCTTGTCATCTATGTCTGATCTCATCCTCCTTCACCAAGAGCTGCTTCCTCTCATCCTTTCTGCACTTGACTTGGTTGAAGTCCCTTATCTTTCTATCGCGAGCCCTAGCCATCCTATAAATGCCCTTCTCTCCTTCCTTCGTACTCAAACGTCGGTAAAGTTCCTCATAGGCCCGCCCCTTTGCCTCACTCACCGCTCGTTTTGCAGTCTTCTTTGTCACCTTGTACTTCTCTATGTTGTCTGCACACATGTCATGATACAAGCGCTTATAGCACTCTTTTTTCTTAATAGCCTTTTGCACATCTTTATTCCACCACCAAGTGTATTTTGAGTCGCATCCACTCCCTTGGTCACTCCAAGCACATCTGAAGCAACCTTCCGAATGCATGTTGCCATCTTCTCCCACATGCTGTTTGCATCGCCTTCATCCTTCCAAAGGCCCTCTTCAATGACCTTTTCCTAGACCTTTGATGCATCACCTTCTAATTTCCACCACTTCGTTCTGGCAACTCTAGCTTATTTGTTTCCACGAGCTTGCACCAGAAAGTGAAAGTCACCCACCACCAACTTATGTTGAGCGACTACGCATTCTCCAGGTATTACCTTACAGTCCACACATATTAATTTATCCCTCCTTCTTGTAAGGACAAAGCTAGTCGATTTGTAATCTTTTTCCCCACGTGTTCCCCGTGTCGTTCTTACCGATTTGGCCGACCCGGCCACACTGTTTTTCCGTGTTTCGCGTAGAAGTACAGAACTACTAGCTACTTACCAGTTGTAGCATGCATGCATGTGGGCCCGGCCGCAGCTGACATTCTGTCAGCGACGGTAACGGGCAAGTGTTTTTGTTGTAAGCCGCTGCCGTTGCATAGACGAAACGATCGAGAGCACGCCTAACATAGGATGTACGCACACACCACAAAACGAAGCCATGCGCGCGCGCACGTGTGCCAGCAAAACACACGTGCGCCGCCCCAACACAAGAAGCAGCAGGTGACGACGGGTTTAAAAGCACGCCGCTCCGGCCATCTCTTCATCTCCCATCGCCTCCGTCCCGTGCTCAGTTCGCATTCCTTGCTTTGTTCCCTCTCTCCTCTCTCCCAGATTCGTTCTAATCGTGTCCAGCAGGGAGAAGGAGAGGGCCAGCTGAGAGCTAGCTACAGAGATCGATCAACTGATCCATGGAGACCAACCAATCGGCCATGACGACGAAGCCGAGCATGCAGAGCGGGGCTGCGGTGGCGGAGAAGGCGGCTGCGGCGGGCCGCGGCGTCAAGGCCACCGAGGAGCAGGCGAGGGCGATCATCTGCACTGCCAAGAGGGTGGTGGAGGAGGCGGCAGCCAACAAGGCCAAGACGATAGGCCGGGACGGCGCCGGGAAACCGCCGCCGCCGTCGTCGCTGAAGAGGTCGCTCGAGTGCTTCCTGGAAGGGCGAAAGAACAAGGCGCCGTCGTCTTCCGCAACTCGTCGCCACCTCGAGACCTCCACCGCATCTTCATCTTCGTCGTCTAACTAACAGATGGCCGGCGGCCGGCCGGCTCGACTGGGAGCAGTCATCAAGACATCAAGTCGCTTCTCCATGATCGATCGTCGTCAGTTTTTGTTTCATGTCTTTCTGTAAACAGATGCATGCATCATGCTGGGTACGGTGCAAATGCACGCATCAACGATTGAATGACATGTCGCAGCCGGAATTTCGCCGAAATTAAATCTCCCTAGAGTTATTATGATCGACGCGATATGACATTTTCTTGGATGTTCGACCTATCTTCTGCTCGTTCATGGCTCTGCATGCCTTTGTTCATGTAGAAAACACACCGGCGCTCTCTATGTCTATCGATCTCGTTGAAGAAGAGTAGGTGAGATCATATCTTTTTAGACCATCTCTAGTGAGTCATGGGATGAGCTTGGTAGCCCATGAGTCAACATATGCCTACCAGAGAGGACAAAAAACTCACTCTAGAGTACAATCAATGTTGTATGTAAGCAAAAAAATAATATATGTACAATGAACCAACCACTCGTTGTCTCCTTGACCGTTGGCAACTAGCCGTTGTTTTAGGCTGCCTATATATTTAGTTTTTTTTTACTTCAAAAATCTAACACATGTACCTACCCTACTTCTAGAAACAAACTGATACATCTTACAAAATAACAAGCAACAGATACGACAAGTGCTCATATCTCATATCTATTTTACAAAACATAAGCATGGGCTCACATTCATCTACTAGTTTCACAAGCCATTTGAACTCTTCAACCTCAAGCGCATAACTAAACAGCCCACAAAGTGCAAGCAACTAGTAGTACCAACATTCCCATCCACTTTAGCTTCTGAGATGACGAGATTGAGATGTGCCTTTGTCAAGAGATGAGTGATAATTTGTCAAGGTGAATTGAGAAGCTTACAATTGAGTTAGTTTGGGTGTGTTAGGTTGTTTATGAAGATGTGCTCCCAAAAGAACACCAGATGGAGCATATTTGAATATAGCCCTTTACACCATTGTTTATGATTTTG